AGGTACTTATTTTTTTGTTTTATTTGTTTTCATTAAGATTTTCTTAAATTGTTACAAAAGATTTCAGTGTCACAAAAGTAAGCCTGGATTTTACCTATTTATTTATTTATTTAATAATTTATGTACACACAAAAAGCACAGAGGAAAATACATAAAAAAATAAGAGTACAAAGGTGCTACTTATTCCTGTTGGAATTTCTTCCAGTTTTTTTATTTTTATTTTTATTTCTTTTATTTTTTATTTAAAAAATAAATACATAAAATCCGGGCTTATTATTTTATATTAAAATATAAATAAATATGTTTAAAAAGAGGGCAACATTAAGTGAATTTTCAAAAGGTAATAACGCATTACAATCACCTCAAACGATTTATTTCATATTTGTCTCCCTATTTAGGTATTATTTAGTAAAACAATTCATTGTAATTTCACGAAACCGAAAAACGACAGTACGAAATATAATTGGTATTATACTTAATCATGAACCCACATAACACTTATTTCTAAGATTTTAAATTTTAATTAAATTAATTCGTCGAATCGTTACCACTTCAAATCAGGATAAAAATGTGTTCTTACGAGACCTGGCATAAACTTAACCTTATTCTTAACACGAATATTTTATTAACAATAGACGTATCTACCTACCCAAGTAAAAATTGCATTATTTAATGAAGAATAATGGAAAATTAATGTGATTCAAACATCGCAAGCATGTCTCTGATACTACTACAACCTATTGTTTTTTTTTCTAAATTAGTCGAGGTATTCAATGGATTACAAATTACAAATACTTATTAAAGACCAAATAAATGAAATTCCTTTAGTTATGGGATTAATTTGAAAAATAAAAACATCTGTTACATTCTGATATACCTACGGGTATCAAAGTGTAACATGAAAATACAGTTTTATTTAAGTATATTTATTTTTATTATGATTATAATAATAATTTTATAAATCTGGTTTCCGCTTAACCCAAGTGTTGGTATTTTATAGGCTTTAAGCTTTGATGTCCAAGATAGGTACACTTTAAAACTTACAATAGTAAATCTGTTTTGAAAAAAACTTACCTTATATTTCATTTTGAATCAAACACGTCCCCTTACAACAATAACACAACACCAACAGTAGAAAAAATAAAAATAAGTAATAATTTTCTAAGGTTAAAAGTTTATAAAATTGTCGTATAAAAATAAAATAAAAAAATATCGTCAAATCGTTAGTAGAGATCGCGAAAGATTTTGGCGCGCAATTCGTGATGTCCGCGCATGCGTACAGTGCGGCCGCGCGGTAATGGCTGCGCTTTACGCGACGCGACGGTTTTGCTTCCCCGCCATCGAAGTGCAACGACCCAATACTGCGCGCTCAAGCACTTCCTCAGCTCGATGCAATGAAGGTGAAGGTAAAAGGTGAAGTACGAAATTGTTGCCCAAATGACCACCTACCCACACCGCGATAAACAACCCAATCAACCGATAATGCGTTTCACGCAGTTTCACGGTTTTATATTGCAAATATAGATTGAGACAGTGACCTACTGTAGCTTTGGGCAATTGATAACGACTTGCTTGTAATTTAATTTCACCATAATTTTACGATTACTATTGTGTGAAATGAAGTAAGTACTTAATAATGTTGATTCAACGTGTGACTAAAATCATTTGTGAAACTAAAATTAGGTATCAATACAAGATAGTTTCCAGCCGGGCTAATTAAGTACAGCAGCCGCAACCGGGAGCAGGAAAAAGACGGGGTGGGTTTTAGTCAATAACAGGCTAACACTCCCTCTCGCTACAAACAGGGCGAGAGAAATCATTTGATGATTTTCCCTTTAAAAGGTAAATTAAGTACAGTTGAAATGTAATCAGAAAATGTGGGATGGTATTACTGAAAATATTTTACTGGTTAATTTGTTTAATAAGTACCGTAAACAAGAACATTACGATGTTTCTAACACTATTCTTATCCCTTCAGACAATAAAAACGTGATGTTTCGTCCAATAAATTATAAATAATTTACAAACTTAGATTTTCTTACAAACAAAATCTTACAAAGTTATAAATATCTACTTATCTAGGCAACGACTTTGTAAGATTTTTATTTTAGTTTTTGTGGTTGTGGTGGTTCCACCTGATGATGATGACATACGGTACACATAAAGTCTCGCAACCCCGGCCTAAAACAGGATACGAAACAATCACCCCGGGACGGAGAAGTCATTTGATAACTATACCTATCGAACGAAATGACTGCACGGTTGGTGCGGTGGCCGGGAAACTGGCTGCAGTGCAACGTGTCGCGGGTTCGATTCCCGCACGGAACAACTCTTTGTGTGATCCACAAATTGTTGTTCCGGGTCTGGGTATCTAGTGTATGTGAAATAGTATGTTTGTAACCGCACCCACGACACAGGAGAAAATCCTAATGTGGGGCAACGTTTTTTTAAAAAAAAAAAGAAAGAAAAGGAAAGATAAAAAAGAAAGAAATACGATCGGGCAGTCATGTTCTCTAATAAACCTAATCCTTTTACACTGATGATTAGTGATGATATTTTGATTAACTTCTCTATAAATAGAAATGCTTTACAGTCCAACAGTGGACTATCACGGGCTTTGCTAATGATGAAAAAGTATAAAATGCTGAAGGGTACTGAAATGCTCTGTTAAACGGGCCCAAAATATAAAACTACAGAATCAGGGATGATTATGATTACTGGACTCGCCTTGCAGGGTTAAGGTCTCAACTTAAACAAAATAATACAAACACTAGATTAACAGGATAGCCAATCCTGTTAATCTAAAGGAAATGACAATATGATCGGAGTAAAAAATCTAAAATAATATGACTCTAATGATCGGTAATTAGCGATGTTTTTAGTGCTGAAAAAGGACAAAACAATATGTTAACGTCACAAGGGTCAGAACATAGAACGAAAGGGAGAGGTAAGTAAATGTTTAGGTTAAAACTATATGAGGGAATATGATGTGATAATAAGGAAAATGTGAAAGACTATGTACGTAGGCAAGTGTTAAAGTCGGATTTGATTAATATTATTAATTTTGTTTAGGATCTTTACCATGGGGGAATGGACAAGGGTTAATAGGAATGGGATGTTTATTGGACGGAGATTATTTTTGTTTCTTTTTCTTTTTAGAAATAGTTGAAAGGGATTTTCTCCTGTATCGTGGGTGCGTTTACAAACATATAATTTCACATACACAAAAACCCAGACCCAGAACAACAATTCAATTCAATTCAATTCTTTATTTGCATTCCATATGTTATACAGGTGATATTTTATAAAGTTGACACAATATATTAGAAACAATATGGACCCGTTAGGGCACAGCATAAAGAGTTTGGAGAGGTTTGTTATACAGTACATATTGTCTAGTTTTGTATTATATCTATGCTTATTACTAAAACACATGTTGTATTCTTATCTTACTTATTAATATTAAACTTATTAATACTTATCTTAATGTATGTGTGCGTGTGTGTATTTGGGTGTGTGTGTGTGTGTGTGTGTGTGTGTGTGTGTGTGTGTGTGTGTGTGTGTGTGTGTGTGTGTGTGTGTGTGTGTGTGTGTTTGTGTGTTTGTGTGTGTGTGTGTGTGTGTTTGTGTGTGTGTTTGTGTGTGTGTGTGTGTGTGTGTGTGTGTGTGTGTGTGTGTGTAAAGGCTTATTTTTTTTATTTTTTTATTCGTTTATTTTTTTTTTATATTTTAGTTTGTATTAGTGTTCATTATTTTTTTATTAACTTATCATCCATGTATTCTTTTATTGTATAATAACATTTAGAGTGTAAAAAGTTCTTTAATTTATTTATAAACGTAGATGTTTTCGTTTCATCTTTGATCGTTTTAGGTAAGTTGTTATATATTTTTATTGACATTATTAGCGGACCGGAAGAATGTATTTTAAGGTGAGATGTAGGTAGATTTAATCTATTCTTGTGTCGTAGGCTATATTTACTTTGAGTATCTTGTCGGGTAGTATAGAATTCAGGGTGATTTCTGACGAATTTGCATATTTCTAGGATATATAAACAGGTAAGTGTGAGAATTTTGTATTTTTGGAAATGTGGTTTGCAGCTGTCTGTTTGTTCAATATTGGTTATTATTCGGATGAGTTTCTTTTGCAAGGTGGATGTGCAAATTTGTGGATCACATAAAGAGCGGGTTGTTCCGTACGGGAATCGAACCCACGACACGTTACGCGGCAACCAGTTGCACAGCCATCGCTCCAAACGTGCAGTCATTGGTCATAATGGGTCATAATGAGTGATCAGGCGACGGCATGAAAAAAATAAATGTTCAAGAGTACCTTCTTCCAAACCACATTCACAGATAGAATGATCTCTTACTCTGATTTTAGCTAAAGTAACGGGTGAGCATACAAAACCTAGCCGTAAACGAAATAAGACCGAGGTATTTTTTACGATTCTATTAAATTTCATGCTTGCTTCTTGCATCTGCCATTAGTATTCTTCTCTACATCACCCAAAGGTCAGACTGGTAGAGAATGCTTAAAGCATTTAGTCCACGCTGTATACAGTTTCTTGTGCATGAAGCCTTTAATAAATAAATAAATAATTTGTCAAGGTGTTTGTATTTACTAAACCAGGCTTTATGGGGAATAGACAGTTGGATATTGCCGAAGAATTTGCCTTTAACTTTTCGTGTCTTTTGCCAAAGGGAATCCCGACTCTTTGTCATAGCGGGTTTGGCAGTACAACACAGGTCTCGAGGAAAACAAGTATTCAGGTAAGATTCAACACCGCAATGAATTGCTGCCTTGGCAAGCGAATCAGCGCTATCATTACCCACTATTCAGCTGAACATCAATCTTGTTGGGCTCCATCTGCCGGAGTGTTTACTTTCGATTTTGCGAATATACTTAATACTCTGTGCGTGTGACAATGACAGTTTGAAAACACAGATTGTCTATGTTCGTTATTCGTTTGTCTTTTTTTAATAATTTTAGTCTAGTAGTCTATGGTTGTAAAGACGCCTCATGCTGCAGCTTGACGCGTCCCTGTATAACTAAGTCCAAAAATGTGAATATTTTAATATTTGCCTGAATAAATATATTGAAGTTAATTTGTGATATTAGTTTTAGTAAATAAGAATAAAATTCTTAATTTAAGATGATGGAACACGTGCGGATATTTGATTGGTAAGTTATACAAATACAATTTGTTGGCGTCCCTCAAAGCAAGCTTGGGGTGCAGGTGCAGGGCATGGGGTAGTAGAAGATTTTTTAAATATAAAATACTGCTCAATCGCCAATAATTTTTTGTCCATTTGTTTTACGTTGGACTCGAATATTAATGGCCAGTAAAGTGCACCTAATTTAATTGAGTATTAAATCTACACATGCTGTAAACATGCTCGAATACACGAAAACACGCAGCACTGTATGTACACAAAATGAATAAATACACGTAAGCGAAAGATATCGGTTTAGGTAGGTAATTAACTAAATGTAAACAATCCTGGCATGTCTTTTTATCTAAAAATTGTACGTAAAAATGTTTACGATCATGTATTTACCAAAATCAATGTCATCTAATAAACCTATATAAATAATCTTTGTATATATTTTATACAACCTCTCTTATATAAAAATATATACCAAGTTTGTTTACTTTTAGTTCACGACCTAAACCGATAGACAAGAATTTCCTATTCACACACAAAGTTATATTATTACCTCCTATTAAAAATCAAAAATCATATACATCATTCCAATCCCAGTCCCCAGCTCCAAAATAAAGTGGCTAGTTTCTTTTAGGTGCTCTTCAGTGCATGATAGATACTTTGTAGAGGAGGCAGACCTGGATAACTGTAATACTGAAAAAATCCTTAGAAACAAGTTCATTGACCCTCTGATATCCAGTGATTCCGAAGATGAGGCTCCAAGAAAAATTAATTGGGATGAAATATTTAAAGACAAAAAGGTAAGTTTATCTTAAAAATTAAGTCTTCCTAGTGATTCATGTAAAATAATGAATGAGTGGGTGTATAATAGTCAAAATAAAACATGAGTTGAAAATGCAGTTTACTTTATTTTGGCTACTTCTTTTTTTCAGACTCATAATGGCAGATTATATGTGCCATGTCTCCGTGCTGTACCTCAGTTCCCAAAGTTATCCAAACTCACTTCAAACAAGCATTATCAAATGATGAAGGTTGTATGTGCTGAGAATCCTCATATTTTAGAGGATTTATTCATAGGCAAGGCTTCCAGACAAGATTTTAAAGTATTTGAGGTATATGTCTGACTTACACAGCTGTTTGATTGAAATCTTCTCATTCTCCATAACTAGATATTTTATTAACTTCTTTCAGACTGAAAAAGAGACATACTTAGCAGAACAAAAAGAGTACAGAGACTGGGCAAAGACACTTTGGACAACAGATCACTTTATTCGTGCTTTACGACCAAAACCTTTTGTTGAAGCTGTGTATGAGGCTGAGTTCAAAATGAAAGCTTTACGGATGAGTAGTCTACCGAAGCAGTACGATTTGGCGGCTCAAATAGCTTTTGAGAGTCCAAAAAGTAACTGTGATGCTGTATTTAAACAGGAATTGATCAGTGTAAGGAGTATTAAATATAATAATTACCTAAATTATAAAATAATTGCTTATTCTGCAAATCCTTAACCTGCATTTGCATGCTTTAATTTTACTTTCAGGTGTCCCCAGCAGAAGTACCACTGATCCAATTACCAAAGAAGATAACGAAAGCAATCAACATTGTTACACCATGTACAGTTCCAGAACCTTGCCAGAAACACCCTTATCAGATTGTATTACCTCGTAAGTAAACTGTGATAATATAATTTTTTTAGTTGGTTACAAAAATATTCTATATTTTAACTTTGCTTTGCTTAAATTTTACAATTATTTGCAGATGAAAATACAATATCAATGTTGCCAACAACAGAAGTTCACAAAGAGCTGGCAACTTTTGCATGGACCAATGGGGCACAGTACATAGCAAGCGAAAATGCTCTGAAGTGTCTGGTTCAATGGAACCGATATTGGATGATACCACTCTCTGTTTGTGAGAGCATTGGGCCTGGTAAGTAGTTCTTATGTCTAAATCTGCTGTCTTCCTCTTAAATTACTAGTAAACAAAGCCATGTATTTTCTGCTTCTCTGGTTTTCACATATTAGTTCACATTTTCCTTGTATATTTTTAAATGGTCCTCTACCTTTCTATCCATGCAAAACATGCAAAATTATTAAAAAAAAAAAACAATTTAGTATGATCTTAGATAGTCTAGCAGTTATTAACAGAAATCAGAACAAGAAAAAGTTTTATTAATACAACCAAATTAATTGCAAAATATAGAATTTTTATAAAAAAAAAAGGTTTAATAAAAAGCTATATCTCGGGAACCCTAGGGTAAAAATGGATAAGTTTGTATTAGGTTATAGTAAATTATCTGAAATTGAATCCTTAACGGTGGACCACTATTTACTTGATAATATCTCGTTAACATGCGCTTTAACACTTTGTTATCAGATGGCGACAAAGCGAACATAGTAGTACTAGACAGTGAATTCTCTGTGAAAAAAGATGCGGCAACAATCAGAACCTACAAGGCATTCAGACATTTATTGGAATCCACACTTATACCGTAAGTTTTTAAATATTATTCAGTTTAATACATTTTTAATTAGCAGCTGCAACACTATAGTCCAACCAAATCTCAAGATAATCCATCCTCTTCTCTCTTGGGATTTGAGAATTTGGGTCTCGGGAAGCTACACGAACACATTTACAAACTTAACGCAAATGTTGCTTCGCATCGGTATTTTTGTTAGGCCATAGTGTCACTGCAAATTTATATATTTTTTTGACCATTCAATGTAAAACACATTGACATAAAACAGTTTATGATAAAATATTTAATAATTTTTTTGTCAGGTTGACAGAAAAAGAAAGAGTACGGAAAAATTATACGAATAAAGAAAAACCAAAAGAAATTGGATCTAAATTTCACGTCAATGCGAAATCAATATTTGAAAGCAGCGATTTAACTAGTGATGAGGATGACGAAAACTTAGTTATTGATACAGGTATTACTGTTACCATATACATTTGTATTGTATTAAGCTTTAGCTACATACAATGATTTGAAAGACTTGTTACTAAATTAATTTTATCTCTTGTTTTAGGAGATGATACAGAGTTAGGTTCGCCAAATCCAAAACCGAGTAAGAGAATGAAGACTGAGGAAAGTGTGAGGAGGTCGGCTCGACTGATGAGTAACGAGAGCACTGGGTACAACACCCGGTCTGCTAGTCGAAGGGTCAGTGAGGAAGGCCAAGATATAGGACTTTATAACTGCACTTGTAAAGGTATGCTACAGTTACACTTACTCAGCAACTACCTTTATTAGCAATGGCTATTAAAGTCCCTTCTCATACATATGCATTTTGCCACTACCTTGTTAAGCATTATACTTGACAATAAAAAAGTATGAGTTTTCAAACACCATTTATCAAGAAAATTAATTAAATACATTATTGTAGTACATATCAAAGTTTGCTTTTATTACATTTCAAAGTATGTTTCCGTCTACAGATACGATATATGAGAAGCCTCCACGTCGTTCTTATAAAAAGTGGCAGTTTAAAAACAAAACGGATAATGAAAAGTTTGACATTGTCATACATTGCCCACACAAGGCAAGGGTGAGTTGAAAAATAATTATTATTAGTATTAAACATAACTTGGGGGTTTAAAATTGAATAGTTGTTTAAAAAATATATTTTTCGCACAGGATGGCTCAGGGGAACTGATATTCGAACCAATACCAGAATACCAGTTGGATTTAGGAGCCAGTGAACAGACCATGGACAGTTTACGAAGTATTGCGCTCTCACTTGCGCTCAGGAAAAACGCCAGTTTAGTAAACGGTATGTATGTCATAACAATTCATTTTATGTTCACTCTACTATTTTAAAAATAATCCATACTAGAATTTTACCTGTCTTGTCTGTTTATTAGACATGACCATAAGGTTCACTAATTAGCAAAACAAATCTGTTGAATTAAAATAAATACTTTGATATAACTATCATAGTAACTCCACCATATGTTTTATAGTTCGCCTGGATGGTTCGGGGGGTGACGTAGTGACAATTGAGCAGTTGACAGCGGAGAAGTTCACGAAGAAGTATCCGGACGTGACGCAGCAAGTCATTACCGCCGTGCACACCACGCTCAGCCAGTTACAGGGGCTACTGCCTGGACACTATGTACTGCTACATGAGGTTTGTACATCCAGACATGTTCCATTTCTACTTAAAATTAACACCACACAAAAAAATGTTATAATAATGGTGTTTATGCTATATTCCTCGTCTAAGACTACGAATAGGCGCTGTAAAACACACTTTTATTTCCTGTGGCGTTACGGGTGTCCATGAGCGGAGCAGATTGCTTACTATCGGGTGATCCGTCGGCTGAAAGAGTATCGACACATTCTAGTATGATATTTATATAATTTGTGAGACTGAGAGTGCTTGCGACCACGACATGTGCAACCAGGTCGAAACGTCAAGCCATCCCAAGATATTTAAATAATTACTTTCCACGTTAATACCCGTTGATATATTATAATGTTGGCAGCCAAGTCACGGAGCGAACAGCCTGCTCCTATCGTGCCGGACGGGGCGGGGCGCGCGCCTACTGCTGCAGTTCGACAGCGCGCAGCTGGCCGAGGCAGACGAGGCACGCATGGTGCGCAACCCGCCCGTCATTTCCACTGCACTACTGCCCTACCACAAGTCAGTATTACCAAGTTACTTCTGTGCCTAATAGATTTGTCAAATGTATTCTCTAGTTTCAAAATATGTCCTTGTTATGTTGTTCTTATTCCATTTTCAGACATGGGTATAGAAATTCAAATGTTTTCAAATGTGTCTGTTTTAGTGTTAGTATTTTTGTATACTCACTTTCAATGTCTGTGTCTATTGTTCAATAATTGTTGCATTTATTTAATGGGTGTATCCACACATCAAACAAACTTATTCCCCAAACTACAGCAGTGTGAATATACCCAAATAAAACTTGCTTTTCTTATAACACTAAATATCATACAAGTACCATGCCAACTTCCAGTCACTCGTCACCGCTTTTGTCTGTCCCATGCAACTAAGGGCCATATCACATTGAAATTTTGGCGAGCGTTTGCATCCCTCGCCAAGTTCCAATGTGAAAGGGGTCTTAGCTAAAACTGGGATGAAGTTATTGTAAGAAGAACTGAAGATAAGAACTGCATATGAAATTCATTGTGTGTAAATGCGACCATGTTGTATGCTACAAATACCCATCACTACATTGAAAAAACAAATTATGGTTAAGGTCTATGGACATTATAGATCTTAAACATAATCCCCCTTATTACAAAACAAGATTTATCTTTAGTCCAAGTTTAAACCATTGAGTCGGGTTTTGAATTTTGAATCTTATTGTCATCTACCTTCGATTCGAAATACAAAAACTGGCTCAATGGTTTAGTCCTGGACTAAAGTAAAACCTTGTTTTGTAATAAGGCCGAATTTGTTTTAAAACTCTCCTTTTTAATCCCTTGTTCAATAGCATAATCTGGCTATTAGACAGTAGTTTTTTTTATTAATTTATGAGCGACTGTTATTTGATGTGTGCTATTGCTATATTATCTAATTTTGCTAATCTCTTGTTCTTGGGATTTCTATGTATACTTTCTATGTGCACATATATATAAAAATATGTAGCTTTAAATTTTGCACTGCATGTTCAATTTACAACAAATTATAGATTACTGCTGTTTAGTCAAAACTAAATTTTTTGGCTGGATATTGCATTTGTATTCTCAATCTTTGTGTATAATTTTTACATGTTATAACAGACGTAATTTGTCTCAGATTCCGTAAAATCTTACCCTGCGCCTTCACGCCACACGAGAATCAATTAGCCAAAGAGAGTAAGAAGCCAGCGAATAAGAAAAAAGCCCCACCACAAGCGATCAAGGTAAACATCTAAGTTGACTAAAATATTCCATAACAGAAGCAGGGTAAAGTATGAAGTTCGCCATGAAATTATTTAGGTTTTAATTCCGTTGCAGTAAAGGTTGGCAGTGTTCATATATTTTCAGATTGTAGTGAATTATTGCAAATCCCTTACGGATTTTATAAATGCTACCAATCTGAACTATTAAATTTCGCAAATGTACCTAAATAATTGAATGGTGTACATGCAAGACACCTTGCTATCATCTTTGATCTTATATCTTCAAGGATGGAATTCAAGATTTGAGGGCACTTTCCAACCCGTGGTAAGTGTCGCGGGTTCGATTCCCGCACGGAACAGTAATTTGTAATCTGTTCCGGGTCCGGTATTTTGTTCGAGACATCGGTCGCCGTTGGAGAAATCCATGGCGGGTGTGTTGGTAAAGTTATCGCAATCAATAATCGACTTGTCCACGCTAAGTACAGAGTTTGTATTCGAAACGACAGATGTCAATCTCCAAAGAACTCAGATTCAATTCCAGGAATAAAATGACTAATTAAATTGACTTGTGATGACCAGTAAAAAAACTTATAAAAAAATAATATGACAAGTAACATCCCCCTTAAATAAAGGATCAAAAAGTAACTCACTAATCGCTTTAGTGGAACCAGAGTTTAAAATATACAACATTTTAGAAACATCTATCTGCTCGTATGACATCTGCCGTGGTGAGTATGAACTAAATGAACATAGTGTGGATAGCTCGAGTTTACACTGAGATACGGGTATAACGTTTGTATGTAAGTTTGTTTGTGTCATATATAAGAAAGTAAAGTAATATTTTGTCACAAGTGATTATTTAGTCAACACGTACATGGACATACTATGTCTTTAATACACCTTATTACATTTAAATGCAAACTGAAACCTTAACCTTTTACTACAAACAAAAAAGCACTATGAGAGCTAATTTTTTTCTATCATCTTCGTCTTGCATTTATCACATACATTTTAAAATTCAAAACTTTGGTTTATACGAAAGTGTAATATCACATTACACAACTGGATAGCGCTAAATAATAAACTTGTGAAAAATGTAACTTTCTTTCTCCCGCTCCAACTAACAGGAGTCTAATGTTCCATCTGACCTGAATTTTCAGGTGGTTTCATGAGGAATATCAGATATTGATGAACTGAGGCAGTGTTTAAAATGTGCCTTTTATAGACGTCCAGCCAATGAACCTCTAGGGGTGAGGTAGACGGCTATAACTCTCGCAGGTCGCCATTAGGGTAGGTTCAAACAGGCGAACTTGTGACCAAACTAGTAAGTCATCAAACTCAAGCCAGATATTTTGTATCTTTTGGCTTAATTTAAAGTAGGAACCCCCCGTAACTTCGTCCTCGTGGGTGAACGTGAATCACCAATTGTAAATTTGTCAGAATATTTACATGGAGAATTAGCGACGATCAAAGTTTACAAACAATGTAATTGATTAAATTGTGTTCAATTTAACAAATGACTGAATATCTACATCCTATTTGACCATTCATTAGTTCATAATACTACACAAAATGTACTAATTAAGATCTTAATATAAACTATTAACACATTTACTTAATCGCTTGATCTTATAAGTCAAAAGCATAGCATGGATTGCGGTTGGTTCGACCACGCGGGCGAAGCTGCTGGCACAGCTTGTTCTAGTAGACGGTAACATGTCACGTTAGGCACATTTTGAACGCAGCCTGCCTCAGTTCCCGCAGGTACCTAATACAAACAGTACGATGCCACGTACCCGGACGTTTGTTTGTTTCAAATGTGGAAATCTACTTGTTGTTAGTTGCAAGCGGAGCAGCCGGATAGCGAGGCCAGTCCAAAGGTACCATTGGGGTTATCCAACGAATTTGTCTTTGTTCCCGACGTAAAGTATCACACTGCGTTTAATGGCTTACAGAGATTAGACAGGTAGTTCCACTGGGGAGTAATATGTGAATAGTTCACAATCACTAAATACATTTGAACATTATTTAGTTAAACATGCTTATATTGTTTTGCCGCTTTTTATTCTTATATAAATGTATCTCTGAAACTTTATTTTTTGTGCAAATTGCTTGTGTAATCCATTGCTAAGTCATTCTGTCTTTCCAAATAAAGTTTATTTTAAATATATGTATTTTATCAGCATTTTAGCTTCTGCAATATAAAAAAAGAATATCAAACTGCATGCCTGGAATTATACAATATGTTTATTATTTATGCGTTTGATTTTAACCTTAGTAGAACTATCGTACTAATCTCTGGATAATGTCGGTTTGCTGAATCGGATGGAGCACAATTTACTTGATTACCAATCTGCGCAATCAACGGAGCAAGGCTATAAGGACGCGTAAGATAAAATTAACTAATTCTATGAAACAAATTATTTCATAAAAAATTGTTTACATTGATAAATCGGTATTAGCTATATATACATAATGATTTTAACATCGACCTTTTTAAAACCAACGCGATCCCTCCGTTGATTGATCTTAAAATTTACGTCATAAAGTCATAATCTGAACTGTAGTTGAAGTATTGGCTTTTCTTCTGACCACAAAAATAGGCGGGTGAAAAGTAATTATAGGGTTGTCCTGTGGCGGATCCACTGGACAAAGGTGGTGCTACGAAAGTACACCTATATGGACTCAAAGACTCATGAGATCCCCTCCACGGAAATTCCAGTGTTCAAACCAGAGCAAAAAATGTATCGCGGCTGCTTTTACAACCTCTCGATCTTTTTTGAATCAAACTCACTTGATTTTATGTGATAGTGAATATTGAGCTTTGCTCACACAATATATTCCAGTTTTGTTATTAGTAACACTGCTGTAGAGGTCCTTATACTAAAGTGGACCGTATTTGCACAATTTGGAAATATTGTTTTTACAAATCGAATGTGTCAATATAAGCTATTTTTCAATAAAAATTTATCACTTACATTAGAAATAGTGAGAACTATATCCGCCAGTAAGATTTCTATTTTCTATAACTAGTTTTATTAGTATTATTAAATATACCTACATGGTTAGGAAGAAGCAGCCGACAGATACTTATTAAGTACTAAATAATAATAGTTTTAGAGGAAAAGATAAAACTTTGGCTCATCTCTCATGGTTTTAGTTATACATCTATAATATTAAATGCATTTTACGAAAAAATATAATTGTATTTTCATTTCTTAGAACAAATGAGCCGAGGTTTGTCTTTTGACCACAGTCATGGTATGGGAGTGTTATGAGGATTTTCTTGTTTCAGTGGCCCAAGAGGAGGACACGAAGAAAGAAGAAGTAAATTTTATATTTATTTAATAAATACTACATAATTTATTAATAATAATAATATATTTGTGTTTGATATAATCATCTCATTATAAATCTGTGATTAAATAAATAGTGATTTTCTCTCTATATGAGTGTATTTTATGTAGTAATACTATTAACAATCTATAGAGCTAAGATAAGCTCTTAGCTCTAAGCAGCTTCATCGAAGTAGCCATCTAATTGTGTGGAAATCTGAAAGTACATATAATATAAATTATAACAAATTATATAAAACTACTAGCTTTTGCCCACGACTCCGTACAAGTGGAATAGTGACTTCCTGCAGATTTTTGGTTTAGAAACTCCTGTCTTTTCTCGAGTTCCAAACTATGCCTGTACCAAATTTTACAGAAATCGGTTCAGTAGTTTAGGCGTGAAGAAAAGACAGACAGACAGTCGTAGTTACTTTCGCATTTATAATATTAGTTTGGATGTGGATATAGTGCTGTTCTTTTAATTTCACAAAAGCTCTGAACTTCTGAACCGATTTAGATGAGTGCAAGTGCAGATAAGGTATATAACAGTAAAATTTATCTGGTGATTGAGAAGAAGAAACTTATAGTTGGTAACCAAGTTTAAAAACGATTGTAACTAATGACTGACCTGCAGAGGTGTGTACTTGACGTATTTGTCAGGGTTCTTAGAGAACGGTAGCCCGGCGTAAGCGTCGTAGAAGGCGGAGTACTTGGGCAATATTGCCTGTTTGTTGTCCCGCTTGAGAGCCTCGCGAAGCTCCGCGTCGGGTACGCTGTACCCAGTCTGTGCGCGAGACACCTCCTCCCACTCACGGTTGAAAGACTGCAACACGAATATACAAATACTACCTATTGAAACTTCTCTTATGGATGATATTTATCCAAGTACTGAAAAGAATGAGTATTTTTCTTATTAATTAGTTTACAATAAGTATTTACTTAGACTGCAATGCTAAGCTTACCAGGACAAAACAAAGCTGCATGTTATATTCTTCCAAAAATTAACTTCGTACTTACTGCAAACTTATCCTTGAGTATCTGCCTGTCCTTGTCACGCAGCTTGGCAGGCAGAGGCTCGTCTAATACTGTGTGAGCTAGAAGTTTGTTCCAACTGCAATAACAACAATAGAACATAACTTATTTTTAATATCAAAACCAACAGATTTCACCAGGTATATACATAGTATACACAGGCAAGCAGATATTTCAAACGACACCTTACCTTTGCAGGTAAGCATTTTTATGTTCCTGTATCATGTCCCTGTAATTGACTTCACAGTCTGGCTCAGCCAGCATCAGCACATCAAGCAGGCCGCTTCTCTGAAGACCCTGTAATGCAAAAATAGCATGAACCACACACACAAAACTATAATTATTGGTAGATTTATGATTCACTAAAACACCACAAACAATTCTGATCCTAGATCCACCTAGCCTACATAATAGTAAAAAAACGTGAAAAAATGTTACCTGTAGTAAATATAAAGTGTTATTCAGCAAAAATATAGCTTTCAGTGCATCTGGGTATTGTTCACTTTTGTTCCTTAGGGCGAAGTTCAGTTGCGCCAGTACTTTACCTGTGGATAAATTTAAAATTTTATTTAGATTTCTATAAAAAATTATGGGCTGAAAATCAATAAATTTATGGTAACGATTCCTTGTAATAGGGCTTTACTCTACTTTCATAAACTGGGCAATACCAGGAAGAAATTTAAATCCCTAAAAATCTTTGTCGGTAGTTATGCTTGTAGGTAAAAGAAACAAACTACAGAATGTTGTAATAAATAAAAGTTGATAATTACGCATGTATACAGCCAACATGGCCGCATTTCTATCGTGGACTCCTGACAGCTGGCTAACAGCGCGGTTGTAAGATGGCTCCGTAGCGAGTGCGGGACCTATAATGTAATTGACATTACTTATTAATGCAACAAACAAAACCAAAGATGTACTAAAACAAGAGAGGCTGAAATTATTCTCGATCTGAAGCGGTAGTCATAACGGAAACAATCTTAAAATTGCGAGCACACAAAGCTAATATTGTGAATTATTCGTTCGAATTGTGACTGCCAACCCGATGATATACAACCTCAATGGTAGCACAGTGAGACACTTCACACAGTAAACACTTAAATAATAGTAAGTATACCTATAATTCATTTGCAAAAACACGGTATAAAATGGTGATATACATATCTTATAATAAAAAAATACAATCGTGTTACGCTAACACTAACACAAAGTATGCAAAATTTAAAATTCAATAAATTATTATACGTATTAAACGTTTTTCACCAATATACGGTATAATTCCTGGGGAAGGTTTAGGTATATGTATGTATAGTTTGATATTGTTAGGAAATATGGAAAATATAATAGGTAGTGTATGAGACCGATGGTGTTGATGTGTCCGGCGAGGGCCTGGCAGTGCGCGAGCGCGGCGGCGGCCAGCTGGTGCACGGTGCCGTCCACGGGGCCCGCAGAACTGTCTCCGCGGACGCCCTCCACCCACTCCTCCAGCGACTTCAAGCACTGGGTAGTTAAGTCAAAGTCTAACTCATTTATTCCAACTAAACCATAAACAAATATAGGTACGGGCGTTAACTACTACCTATCTTCGAAATTAGCTCACTAATATGGTTTTGGATATTTTAGCCAATTCTTGGTTTATTCGAATGATAAATTTTACAAATTTTGAAACGTCACAATAGAATATAGTCTGTCAAGCAGTTGGCCAATGAAGCTCGGTGCAAACCACGAGTAATCAATATCGCTATTACCTAGGTATCCATAAGTTTTGTCTTTTTAAATCATTAACGAGTGCTTGATTGCAATCCCACTTGACGGTAAGCAGTGATGCAATTGTCAATGGTAAGGCGGATAAACCTAATCACTCTAGCCTTGAAGACACTCAAAGTACCTAAAATATACTTTAATGAAATCTAAATTACCTACATCATTCCATAAAAGCGTAAAACATTACGCTTACTGCTTACTATCGTTTGCTTGGTTCGTTAACTGGTAATACATAAATGCACTAATACAAAGAAAAACAAATATTTTAATGCAACGGGGTCTGCGCCATCGCTGTGGTTGTAAACTAAGGAGGAAATACCGAAACGTATTTGGAAATCTTTGTAACAGTTTAAATTTAGCAGATGCTTAATGTATGAGTAATTGTCTGGCAGTGTAAAGTGCAGTAAGTGGCTTACATTCTGCTGGCAGTGCTGCAGTATGGCGGTGTAGGGCGCGGGCGCGGCGGGGGCCAGCGCGCGCTCCAGGTCGGGCTGCAGGCGCTGCAGGCGCGCCAGCACGGCCCAGCACCCCGCCGCGCTCCCGCATCTACTCGCCGCGCGCCGGGACCGCATGCACGCGCGCTGCAAACGGAACCGTTTTCAATAGTTATAGTTTCTTAGTTATAAATAGCAGTCAGGTAAATGGACATCTACAACATCAGAGAAGTGACTAACTTTTGGGGATTAGAGATTTGATGATTGAAAGTGATTGTTTCCCGTGGATTTTCTGGAAAACTCGAGGTAAGATTCCAGTCGAGTTGGCCTATTCGTGAAGATTTTGAGTAAAAAATGAGTTGTTGAAATAAAGACAGTGTGTACCTCTACGTCGGCGGCGAGTATGGCGAAGCAGTCGTGCAGCGTGGCGGCGAGCAGCGCGGGCAGGCGCGGCAGCGGCAGCAGGCCGAGCACGTGTCGCTGCTCGTGGCGCGCCAGGCGGGTCACGCCGGCAGCCACGCTGCCCGCCACCTCCGCCTCCCACTCCTCCAGCGCCTCGCTGCTCTCTTCCGCGTCTGGACCACACACCAACCTCACACTTACAACACTAGCTCCTTTACAGCGGACAGGCACCACGCCCTTCTAATATCTTAGCTGTGCATTTTAATAGGCGTTTTACACGTCAAATTATATTATTATGTAAAAAACTAGATGAAGCCGGTATACTCATTATATCGAGTAATACTTTAAAAAGATAGGTACATTGTAAGAAAATCTATATAAACACATTTACGTTGTGAAAACATATTTACAAGACCTTTTGAAGACTGAATGAAAAAGAAGGAGATACTTAGATGATTTTAAGATTACACGAAAATTTCAAACTGCATCTATCTATGCATTTTTTCAAAAGTAGATTTAGACTTTTTGTTGTTTTAGAACTAAGTGATTTGTGTATGTGAATTTGTATGTTTATTAACGCAACCACGATATAGGACTAAGCAATTACGTACAGCTGTTTTTTTTTAATAGATGTACCTGAATCGTGTCTAAAACTAGACCCTATATGCATTAGCAATTATTGTAAAAAATATTATAAACATTGGCATTTATATAATGTTCCAGTACTTACAAGCTTCAGAAACAGATTTCCTAGGTCCTATAGCGAATCCGGTGGACTGCTCCAGAGTCTGAGATGCCTTCATCATTATCTTGTTTGCACGTTTCTCAATACTAAAACAGTGGAATAGAATTATTTTTCAATAATTGTCTCTAAATATCTGATTCAATTTGACGCTTAAGTCTATTTATACATACACTTTCTGTAGTTTGCTTGTCCTTCTTTGTGTGCTGTCGGATCGATGTAACAGGTTTTTGGCTCTCTGTAACAAATATGTATAATCTTTTTATTTATTTGGACTTCTGACAGAGAAAACACCCTTAATGCTCTAGTATTTAAGGTGTTTTTTCTCTCGCGCAAGGTCATATACTTATACATAACAAAATATGACCTTGTGCTTTTCCACAGTCAGTCAGTCAGTTTTAACAAAGTTCATCCATATTGAAGGTAGGGTTACATACTTTTAACTATTTATTTTTCGACATTGTCCTGAAATATATTTATGACAGATTTAAACACTATGTATCCTACTTAATCTTCGTCTTCGAAAAATGGGCGCGAAACGTAAGAAACAAACTTTAAATTCGCAATTCCATTTTATTTAAACTCACCATGAGCGGCGAGGCAGCCATGGACCTAGATCTTAAATAGTCTCTGAAGGCTACAAGCGAGCTCTTGGCAGCTGGGCCCCTAATGGCCAGGAGTTGGTTGGCGGGGGGCACGCCGGCGGCGCTGAGCCAGGCCGCCGCCGCGCGCATGCTGTCCAGCGCTGTCGCAGATGTACTGCCACTACCACTCACTGACACACTGTCCACGCTTGAGTCTACAAACACAACATAACTACTTTCAAACATGCACACCTAAATTTGATTAAATAAATTAATAAAGTATAATTTTTGTCAAGGCAAAATCAGCAGATGGTTTCTCCCGCCTAGTGTGAGGCGAGAGAGAGCGTCAGACTCTGACTTAAAAAAACTCCCGTTCCTTCTCCTTCTTTAGGCCGAGGCCGCATTGCGCTTACTCCTCAACCCCATATCCAAAATCTACATTGGACATTAAAGTATAAAATTGGTTAACATTATCTACTGTAACTAGAATATTAAGTGTGGGTGAGCCATGCTTCGGCACGAATGGGTCGGCTCGACCGGAGTGATACCATGGCCTCACCGAAAACCGGCGTGAAACAACCACGGCATTGTGTTTCGCCTTCCCCTCCCCCAATCCCTCATCAATCCCTAAATCTCCAAATTCCTAATCCCTAAAAGGTCGGCAACGTACTCGTAACTCCTTCGTTGCGGGTGTCCATGGGCGGCGCTGATTGCTTACAATTAGGTAACCCGTCTGTTCGTTTGCCGATCTAATACATAAAAAAATGCAATATACATATTTCTAGGTTCAAAATGTATGATGATGACGATAAGGACTAAAAATAATCACTATTTAAAATTATAATAAGTAAAATATTACAAATATTCCTTTAGTGAAAACATACCTTCTTCCAATGCTATCATGTCCATAAGTGTAGTTGGCGAAAGAGGTCTAGTGTTACGACTCAATAGCTCTTCAAATGCGTTCTCCAACTTTGATACTCCAGTATTGTACAGTTGATTCTGTAAAATACCATATTGATTTAGAGTAAAAGATTACATAAAATATTGGATTTCATTTGGAATATTTGTAAGGAATATCAGATAGATCACCTGACAGTTGCAAGTGTGTTTCCAGTCTTTTCAGTGTTATGGATTCTAGGATTAGGGGGTATAGAGACTAGGGTAGGGGGAGGTTAATCTTTGGTTTGTAAATAGAATCCAAATATAAGATAACAACTTACAATATTTTCGAGTTCTACACTTTGAGGGTTGTTCTTGTTGAAATATCCTTGTGCATCAGCTAACTTGTCGAGAGCCTATGAAAGAGTGAAGAGTCAGCACAATATTAACTTTATTATTAAGTTTTCGAAAAAAATTTCACACAATTTTTTTTTAATCCATTAATTAATCCAAACTTACTTCAAGATACACAGTAAGTGTTTCAGTAGTACTTGTGTTGGGTCCAGCCTGTATCAAGTCTGCCAGCTCCCTGGACACCATGTAGTAGTTTATCACATGCTCCAAAGAACGGACTGTGCGTTCCATGTCTAGAAATAAACAATTATGTTTTTATTGTATTTGTAAATGTGTTACAACTTTTGTTATGAGCACTCAATGATTAGTTGCACCTGTCTTAGTAAGCATATAACAAACTTTATAATGAAAAAATATACACTTTATGTTATGTTTTAATAATCTTTGTACTGCACTCTTTCTTTGTTTTTATTTATATTTTTTAGTTGAACTGTCTAAAAAAGTGTGGTGTCTACCTATATCCATACATTGTTTTTTTATATCCGTTGTTTATCATATTCTTAAGTCCGTTTGAATGTATTTTAGTTGGAATGCTTTGAACAATGAATAAACACAAGTGTGTTACTAGGTGTAATGAGATCAGTGAATTGTCTGAAAATTGTTGTGTGTATTGTCCCTGATAGAGTTTGAATAACTAAATTATCAATATGTACTCTTATTCTTTGTAGTTTTATAATAAATAATGGATATCAATTAATATGTCTACAGCCGTTAATAAAACTAAAAAATATATATATTAATCTATCATTCAAAGAAGCTAAAGCAGCTGAAGTGCTGCTCCTTCCAAAAGGCAGAAGAACTAGTATGAAATTCAGTTATTAGTTACTTTTTATAAAAACCAGTCACATTGGATTCAATAATAAGAGAGAGTGGAATAAGTACTAATATCTGAAAGCTAAAGTAACAAATGATAAAACCACAAGTCTATATTATATTTTTATCAAATAATTGATAATTTAGTTTTGTAAATAGATAGACTACAGGACAGCATTTGAAGACATAAATATTTAAATTAAACTATACAAGGCTATCTTACTTTGATGAATATGTTGAAGCCTGGCAGTATCGCCATACAGAGGCAGTACAGCAGTCTCCAGCTGCTGCAGCCGCTGTTCACATGCACCGAGGACATTGCACACATCATTCGCAAGGGAGGAGCCGCGCTGAGCTGCAGCCTTCAACTCTTGTATGTTTGTAATCTCCTAAAGATGTGAAAATAAAATAGGTCAATATTAATACTGATTAGGCTGATTATATGAACATGTGATGACTAAAGTGTAAAAAAAAAACATCGACACGCCCCCACAACTAATTAAGTACAGTAATAATACAAGTAATTGTATTTAGATACATCATCAAAAAATATTATGTTACTGTCTTGTTTGTTCTGAAGACGGATATAAGATTATGCGATTTCAAACTTAAAATTAAATCGAACTATAATAATATAGTGAAATAATTCCAAATATTAGGAGTAAACATACCTTTCGTAACTTCATTTCTATTTCAAATTTCTTCTCTACGGCATACATCTTGGAGGTGTTTTGTTTCTCTACACTGCAGACACACTTTTACCCTTCTATTTTTGATTAAAATTCCAATAACAGCAGCAGATCATCACTAAAACGATGATAAAAAAGTAATCTTGAAAAATTTGCGGAATTTTACTTTTTACAACTGTGTTGACGAAACTGAAACTGACAGTTTGATAATTATGGTCATGTCATTTGCAATAACATGTCACTTTTTTACAATTCAGGTAGGTACCTACCTACAGATGAAAATATAATGTTTTGCAGTAATACACTGTAAAAAGCTATGAAAGTTGATAGATAGGTATGAAAGCAGGAATTTGGAATATGTGATTTATTTATTTATTGCAAAATGTATATTTACTTGGAACTAGGCAAATGTCACCGATGCAAGTACATCATCAAGTTGGAGCGTAGTAAACGAATACAACTTTTAATAATTTGTTACCTACTTCCTAGATATAAACGTAATAATAGCTTATGTCTACTTATTTATCCTACTATTCTACTATCATGAATCATGTTTGTTATCCTTTTAGAAAAAAGGCCTGACCAGTTTGGATGAAATTTGGTATTGGTAGTAGGTGGGTGATACCCTGGATTAGCACAAAGAGTGCTTTTTATCGACTTACCGCCGCCGCGGGCTAAATTATAATAATTATTATATCAATATTTGATTAAATGGAAATAAAAATCAATAATAATGAATAACCAGTTATGTTCATCACTTCATTAATTCATATTTCTATTCTTTATTATTACATATTGTTTGTATTTAAATAAAAATAATAAATTTATTAAAAATGCTATTAAACTTAAATGACGTTTACAACTTTTTTGTTACGAATATCCGAACGCGCTATGTGTGATGACGTGCCGTGAATCTCGAAACGTGGCTGACGTTTGCGTTGTTTTGTCAGTTTTACGTTCGTATTTTCCGATCTAGGCTGCTGCTAATACCACAGCAAATTGTGCATCGCTTAGTATTACTTAAACCTAGTAAATCAATACATTATTGTAAGTTGTTGCAGTTTATTAAGTGTTTCAAATTAATATTCTTTTCGTACACGACTTTACTAAACTGTTTGTTGTCCTATTTCTAGAATAATGGATCAAATCGCTAAGTTCGTCGAGCCTGGCAAGCAGTTCGCTAAGGACTCCATCAGACTGGTCAGAAGATGCACAAAGCCAGACAGGAAAGGTGAGAGTGGTTTTAATAATGATTTAATATCAAAATAGTAGTAATAGTGAACACAAGATAGTTTGCGATGTTGGCACTTATCCATTGAAGTCCCGTTGTTTCTAGATGTTTGCCTTCTAATTAGGCTTCAGTAAATAATGTAAACTTTCACTGATTTCGATGTGCTCTTGTATTAAAATTAAAATGTCCAAATATATCAGTTTATTTAAATAAACTTAAAATGCAACACATATGTTATGAAAATGAAAGTCTGGTACCTATCTGGCCTGCTTTGTCATAGAGCTGATTCTGATGTTATCTGAAGTTCCTTACCATCAAAATTTAAGATCACCTACAAGAATTGATTTGTATTGATAGAATAAAAACTTATTATTTTTGATGGGATAGATGGACGGAATTCTTGTTAAACTTCTTATTATCAGACATACTAATCATTTTCTCTCATACAAAATAATCATGAGAAGTGAAGTTTGTCTTCTTTTCTTTGATAATATTAAGGGTTGTTTACTTTTCACCATATGTATTTATTAGACCATGCAAGTTAACAATAAATTACTTTAATTAATTGTATGCAACAGGCCTGAAATTTGCATCATGTCAAATGAGGCTTAAAATAAGCTCAACTACAACAACTGCATTTAAATAAGGCAAAAAATATTGTTGTATATCTTACTGGAACTGAACCTTTTTTAATTGGCCAATAAGAAAAAAATATTGACTTCTATGCCAGCTGATTTCCTGTCTTATCTTTTCTGCTCTTATGGCTGATCTGAATAACAACTGATCTTTATCTTTAGATTGAGATTAATTTCTGACATACATTCAACAAAGTTTCTACCTATTGTGCCTTAATTTACCATTATTCAAAGTTTAAAACTTATAAGGCAACATATATATTGTTTACTTCAGCCATCAAACCATTTCATGAAAAAGTAACTGGTGATTTTCTATTTTATTTTTGATTTGATAAAGAAAGCCAAAACCATAGAACAATGATGTGTATTTACCCAAAATAAGTTCAAATGGATATAATATCAGGGTACATCAAACTCATAATACTATTTTGCCATTGACTTAAAATCTTCTCATCCTCAAATTATTGACCTACATAATTCTTTTAAATGTTGTGATGTCACCTTAGTTCTTAGAAGTTTTAATCTAGACAAGCTTTATTTTTTATTTATTTTTACCATATTTTGAGGAGAACTGTAGTTTTGGGACCTTGTAATGTAACTTAACTTACATGCCCATTGTCCCCCTTTATTGGTTGTAATAAAGTGGATGCATTTACCATATGCTGAAGATGAAAGGTGAATTGTTGCATAAGTTAAGGAATCTTATCTTTAATTTGAATTATTTCAACTAAATGCTTCACTTGTGTAACTAAGAAAAAAAACTGTATGCATATATATTTGAAGAATATTATAATAATAATTAGAAGAGCAAACATCCAGCAGTCGCGTACTTATAAACTTTCGCTTTTTTTTATGGTATAAGTCGGCAAACGAGCAGACGGATTACCTGATGGTAAGCAATCGGCGCCGCCCATGGACACCCGCAACACCAAATGAGTTACGAGTGCGTTGACGGCCGTTTGGGGATATGGGTTGCGGATAAAAGGATCGGGAAGGGGAGGTATTGGGCCTCCGGTAACCTCACTCACATGGCGAAACACAACGCTGGGTTGTTTCACGCCGCTATTCTGTGCCGAAGCTTGGCTCTCCCACATTTACTACATTCGCTTTTATAAAATGATTGTTATGTGTAACTAAGACACTTTTCTTTTCCAGAATTCCAAAAGATCGCTATCGCTACTGCTATCGGATTCTGCATCATGGGCTTCATCGGATTCTTCGTAAAACTGATACACATTCCAATTAACAACATCATTGTTGGATCATAGGATGCCTAGGATAGTTTTAGAATTAATTCTACATTTAAGACCCTCAACAACTCCTTTAAGTTAACTGTCGTCAATTTTCATTTACAAATGTTTCTTAAAAAATAAATTATTCAATTCGTAACTCACTTTTTTCTTATTTTTTCTCTGCGATGTTCATTGCGGTCTGGTGTCCTCATGTGCATGAATGAATGGTTAATCTGTAGTGTCAGTGCTATGTTTTAAATGATTTTGTTTATTGTGTAATATAATAAATAATATATTTATGAAATATACATGTATACAATCGATCAATCTCTGCATTTTTTCTATTGAACATTTTTTAATTGCATGTTTTGTTTCTAAAAATTAGACATTAAACATAGGTATGCAGTCACTTTACGTTAATTTTAGGCATATTCTTTTCAATATTAAAAATATTATCAGTCATAGAAGGAATCCAAACCATCAGTGGTCGGGCTCTAGAGAAAGGAATCTCCGCTCAATACATACCGTGTCTAGAAATACCACCCTATATACTGGCCCTTGACCCTACCTAGATGGTAAGTTTATTCGGATATAGATCTAGGCTCATAACCATTACATCATTGACGGGTATGATGATAATCAGCACAATGATTACTAAGTCTACATCCTACATGAAAATATACATTACCATAATGGGGCTGGATTGAAAGAAGGAAAAAGTAAGACAAAAAAGAAACAAATTAACAATTTTTATTTCATCACATTGTCATATTACAGACTACATAGGAATGTTATTAACATTTTAGATTACATCTAAAAGTTAAACTAATTTTGTACTTTATTATTTGCAACATATTAATTTGTGTCCACTAAAAGTTTTTATTAAATTTTAGGCCTTTTTCATTTTATTGGCTCAAATAAATAAAATCATAAGAATATCATTACCTAATTTAGTTTTCTATTTTTGAAAAGGATTTGGAGGTATGAGGAACAGGGTGGTAAGTTCCTCATCCTCCATTGAAAAGGGAGGATCCTCCGACCAGGCGAGGTGTTAGTGCCTGGTGGGCTACTGCCCGACGGTTGTTGTCGGGATATCTGTATGGGTATGGGTGCTAATTGTGTTGAAAACTCTTATAGCGCGATGTAGACTCTTGCTCGTGATTGGTGCTGTTGTTTATGTAGTGCGCTAAATGTCGCTACATCACTCCCCTCCGAGACCGGAGGTCGTTAGCTGGTTGAGACGTCTGTGAGATGCTTGTCGAGCCAGTTGATGGTTTCAGTGCGTCGAATCTGTCTGCGAAGGTGCCCCAGTGAGGCGGGTGGTGCAGTGCTGAAGAGTGGCTAGCTGCTGCGTCGACCAGGAGAGGGAGTACGTCTCTGCTTGCTGACCGGCCGGTGCAGTATGCTGTGCCGAAGTTTCTGATAAGGCTGTAGGTGCTGAAGAGTGGCTAGCTGCTGCGTCGACCAGGAGAGGGAGTACGTCTCTGCTTGCTGACCGGCCGGTGCAGTATGCTGTGCCGAAGTTGCTGATGGGGCTGTAGGTGCTGACCAGGAATGCGCGTTGGCTGCATGCTGGTGGTCAGGGAACCCGTTGTAGCCGTGGAAGCTGGCTGACTGTAGGATTCGCTGCTTGAAAGCTCGAGGAAGTGATGACGTCATGGCTAAGACGTAGTTGCACGAAGGCTGCGTTGATGTTCATGCTCGGGGTCACCAGTTTGGAGGTATGAGGAACAGGGTGGTAAGTTCCTCATCCTCCATTGAAAAGGGAGGATCCTCCGACCAGGCGAGGTGTTAGTGCCTGGTGGGCTACTGCCCGACGGTTGTTGTCGGGATATCTGTATGGGTGCTAATTGTGTTGAAAACTCTTATAGCGCGATGTAGACTCTTGCTCGTGATTGGTGCTGTTGTTTATGTAGTGCGCTAAATGTCGCTACAAGGAATATAAAATGCAGATGTGTAAAAACAATACAAATAATTTACATATGTATTTTAGGTTTAACTTATTAATTTCTAGCTTTTTCTAGGACGTGTATATAAAAGCTGGGTACTGGAACTGCGCTCATTGGCTTGAAGTCAGCATAGATCTCGTGCTTGGCGCGGTTGTCGAATGCCTCGTCCAGCATTTCGGTGAACTTGTCCAGTTTGTGAGGGAAGTAGCACAGACGGAATTCACTGAAATCAGAAAACGTGAAATAAGTACTTATAAATTGAATCGTCTCAAATAAGTAAAATTGCTGGTTCGAGTGGTACTTAATAGTGGCTGCATGACCGGCTCCTGTGTCTTCCGGTGTTTAAAGTCTCATTGTTGATGTTCTAAGTTATATTCTTGCTACTATACTTAAAGCAGCGATGTAATGGAGCTTTCTAACCGAAACTATCAGATAAATATAGGTATCTATAACCATAACCGTTTCACAAGTTCGGATAGCTTCGTATAAATTCCGAGTCCATGAAAAATTATTAGGTAGGTAGGTACCTACTTAAATTCAAAACCGTAACTATAAAAACTACTCAAAACTAACGAATTATCCGAAATACCTGACCATTTTAGTTCTATCTTGCGCCGTCGACACCGTTTTGGCGCTACGATCGCGCAACTATAAAATACCGATATGTTTTCATCGGTTAAAACATTTCACCGAGATTCTTCAACGACGATTACCCACTTGGTTGTGAAAGATGTACCTATCACCTTAGCAAGTAGCTACATTGCACATTGCACTCCTCCGAAATATCACATCCATATAAGAACTTTTTTGTCCTGATTTGGAGAACTGTCGCCAATACCTAGATACATAATCAACAAAGATCTAAAATCTACTTAACAAACTAGAAGACATTATTACCTCTTCTCGCTGTTGGCGTCGTCGTTGATGCAGTAGTCTAACGCCACCAGCTGAGCTTTTCCGCCCACCACCAGCACCGACGTCTTAATATCCACTGGGTATTTGCACTGGAATTGCAACAAATCACATTGTTAGCATAACATTGCCCTTTTATTCCTTAAAGGAATTACGAAATAAAAATGACACCTACTCCTGGTCTATTCATTGTCTATGTATGAAATTGGTAGGTACTTAGGTAATAGGGTCTAAAACTTTTTCAAGGGTCTAACAGAGCATAAATCCCGATTTGGCGGGGTTGCCAAAATGAACGTCATATTCAAGACGCTTGATTTTTTTCTTTCTTTCTTGACCGAGTCATTATTTAGAAGGGCGCCATATTACCACTTAAAATGTTTATAGGACCTATCTACTAGGTTTGCTCAACAGTCGTTCTAGTAAGTAATGAAAGGAATCTTGCCAAATTTATCAGCGGTCACTAATAATTTGATTCGAGCGGGAATCGCACCTTTTTTATGGTATAAGTCGGCAAACGAGCAGACGGATTGCCTGATGGTAAGCAATCGTCGCCGCCCACGGACACCCGCAACACCAAAGGAGTTACGAGTACCTACGGCCTTTTGGGGATAGCGGTTGCGGATATAAGGATTGGGAAGGGGAGGGATTGGGCGTCCGGTAACCTCACTCACACGGCGAAACACAACGCTGTGGGTTGTTTCACGCCGGTATTCTGTGAGGCCGTGGTATCACTCCGGTCGAGCCGACCCATCCGTGCCGAAGCTTGGCTCTCCCACATTTTCTTTGTACTAACTTTTTTGTGATTGTCGTAGTGGCCCAAAAGTTACGGCGCCCGCTTCTCATGCATGAGGATGCGGGCTCTTTCTAAGATTATTTAGACATCACTGACACTGATATACGGTGAAGGAAAACATCATGTGGCAATCTGGACTTATAATATCTAATTGAAAGTATGAAATCGCTAATCCGCCTCGAGCAGTGGGCACTTAGGTATAGGCTGATGATGTTGATGTTGGGAATCGAAGCAATACTACCTATATATCACATTGTATTTATAATCAATCAGCCACTCCCCAAAAATGATGTAAGGGATTTATACATTAGGTACCTACACGTGATGTTATTGAGTAGGCACTCTAAAATCCTTGAACTGTACCAAGTTCAAACACGTATAATATTTGTCATCATCAACTTGTTTATCATGTCGCGCAGATAAAATTGAAAACTCAAAGATGACCCTGTTATTCAATGAATTATCTCTTGGCTCAATAAAGTTTTAACTATAAACAAGCTATTAACACTATATTAAAGAAATGTATTATAAACATATCGATAAAGTTACGAAATTGTTGACGAAACTTGCCTAGAAACTAGTGACAACAGATTTTAAGTTGTTACAGTTGCGACGTTTAGCCTGTAAGATAGATACTTACAGCTACATAGCTCTATCTTAATTAAAAACCGTCAATGAATTTTGAAATGTATTCCAAGAACATAAGGTTAAAAATCTATTGGTTTAAGTGTCTACAATAGCTACATTTTATTAAAACAGTAACTTAGATTAAGTAACACCGGAAAGAACTGGATTGTAGAGAACACTGATAAGATTGTTTCTTTCTGGTTAAGCATAAAACATTGTTTTAGTCACAGATGTTAACTTTGTACCACGCGAGGCTTAGGCAAGTCTATAAATCTTAGACCAATTTACTACTTTATATTTCACTCATTGATTGGTTTTGATAAAACAATCTATGTTAAAACGTGCTTGTAGTACCTTCTATACCTAGGGCCTAGTGTCCAATAGCCAAGCTGATCCTATGATTCATTACTATAGTTACCGGAATCAGCAAATACTTACATTATAATAAATAGAGTGTCCAGGGGTGGCGCCACTGTCGATAATGGCATCATAGTTCCTGTGGTCAATGAATAATAGACCGCCAGGTTTTAAGCATTTGGCGAAGTTCCTCAGGCACATTTTCTGCATCCTTTGGTCTCCGTACTCATCTAAAAGATGGGCGAAGGAGTTTCCAAGGCAGATGACGGCGTCAAACTGTGTGTTAGGCAGGAATGTTTCGATGTCCCTAGGTAAGGTCTCCCAGTTTGCTTCTTCGATGACTGTAATGATAAGATAAAATAAATAAATAACTATACCTATCAACAACATTGTGGCAACTCCGGCCGACCGAAGTAAAACGAAATAACGTTTGTCTGGTGTCATTAGTAAAATGAAAAGAAACCTTGGAATCTCTCGCTAACAATTTTATTATCCTAGTTTATCAGAGAGATATAATAAATATAGGTAATACACCTTCATGTATATTAAAATTGTTTATATAGGTATTAAAAAAACCCAATTGTTTTTAGTATCTACTTACTCCACTCATCGTATTTCGAGTCTTTTCTCCTCTCCCAGCGCGCCTTGAGGGCGTGCTTCAACATTTTGTCTGATGCGTCCACTGACACCACCTTGAAGCCTTCATTCACCAGCATCATTGAGTCTATCCTGGAAATCAAGGTCATTTTCATTAAATTATTTAAGCCATACTTCACAGGTAATGGTTACCTAAGATTGGACTTGATGAATTAGAATGGTTAATGAATAAGAGTAAGTAGTGCCTTTTGATTATAAGATTTTTAGGTGGCATAATGCAGTACCTACCTAATTACTTAGCAGAACGAAAAAAAAACTTACATTACCTATTTACTACTTAGTAGCATAATGTTTTGTTTTCAATGTAAAGAAGTACCTACAGTAAGTACCTGCCTTTATATGTCTTGTTTACTTTCACTATCTAATAAATAAGTATTTAGGTGCCTTGCGAACTCAATGTCGAAATCACGTTCAGAATTTAAGTTGAGAATGTCGAGGTCACATTTTTGCATTTTCGTTCTATCCAAGCCAGCGAAAAAATAGAGAGTAGAGGCAAGTACCTATGTTGTTGTTTGTCTGAACGTAGAATTGAACAAGAAAACATTTATTGACGATGTTATCTAGTCATACCAGATGTAGCCAGTTAAATCTCGTTAAGTGACTAACAAAGTTCAAAGATAACGTATTATGAAACAAATCATAATTGCAGATAATTATTACATTTTTGAAAGCTCATGCTGAGGTCAAGTTACTAATGAAATGTCTGGTTCATAGTCTTATTTGCCTATCAATGACTATCAGAAGTTGCATGTGTAAATAATTCCTGCCTAGATACTCGTATAGGCTACACTTTTGAGGTGTACCTAAGGGAAATAGGTACTGTTGTTATATTTCTTATGATCGATACAACTGCAAGACAAGAAGACGTGTACTGAAGTGTATTCATCTCGTCTGGCAATAACCAATGGGAAGGTTTTAAAATTTATAAAGGAAAAATAAGACTATCTAGTAGGTAGGTACCTACTATAAACTACTACATATTAAGGATTGCCAGCTTTTAAGGGTTGTTTATACCACAAGAAACAAACATACAAACAAACATTTTCATCACAATTAGATCTAGAACAGGGTCAACAGTTTGAGGATCATACAAAAAGTTCTGAAAGGGAATCGAACCTGCCGGATCGCCAGGTACGCGAAAATCATTCTTGAAAGCTCATAGTATACCTATCGTCCGAAGAATGGACTGCATTCATTTTTTCCCTCTAGAAATAAACTACTTACCCGGTACCGCAGGCTGTGTCCAGGATTTTCTTGCAACCATTTTTTCTGAGGAGGCCAATCAAGAAGTCCTTATAATTCTGTGTCCTCTCATTGCTGTCTCCAATGAATTTGTTCCATGTCCTGGCTGCCTTTCCATCTGCATATTGATCTTTTACTCCCTCCGAAGGTATACCTTCAGATCTTGAGTGGAAAACTTGATCCGCTGACATGATTTACTGAGGAAAAGAAGTAATTGAAATTCTATGATACTAGCAATAAAATATGTGCCTACATGGTTGCAAGAAACAAGAAAAAAAGACTAAGAACTTGACTAAAAAAATTGCCAATGAATGCCTGGCATCGATTAGCCAATAAACGATAGGTACCGAAATATGGAGATCAGAAAAGAAACAGTCTTCTGTCGGATACTGATGACTACTGAAGTATTCGTGATTGTCAGTAAGTAGGTACTACTACATTCGGTGACGCAAGATGATGCAACGACCATAATATTATGTTTTTCTCGCGTTATCGCCGTGATAACAGAATAGTCAGAGTAACATTGATGCTCGCGATAGTGCCTTATATTGTTTTGTATCGATGTTTCTTATACATAACAACGATAGTGGCTGTACTTATTATAGGTACCTAACTGAATTAAGTATCTGCGGTTTAATATAATATCATACTCGGTATTTATTCCGAAGATAAGTCGAGGTGTAATTAATTCAACCTAAAGCCAAGAGGGACGCATATTTAGTTTTTGAGCATGAAGAATTGTTTGCTTCATGATTTTGAGGTATTCACTCTCACTTAGTATGTAGGTAGGTATTGTATTTTTTTATTTCAGACCGAGTCCCTCCTAGGCAAGAATAATAATGTCATTAAAAAAAAAATATATATATATTATTCATCAACCCCCAAGCAAACGTCGGCGTTCGCGCTCCTTCTTTCTTCGGTAGGTGATTTTCATCCACAAAAGATCCACCAAGTAATACAGATATCTAAGGCCCACAGCCTACACCTACATTCACTGTATATAGTACATCCCACCCTAGAAATCACTAGGTCATCGGGGGAATCCCGGTAAGAACGAATATTTCCTGATATTTTAAATTTCTATATGGCGGGAATCACCAGTTAGCATAAACGTTATTCTAAAATATCAATATAAATTTATGTAATCAGATCGGGATTACCTACTATGCTTTCCTTTTTTATTCTAATTTATACATACTTATAAGGCATAGATAAGGTACTAGTCATTATGATATGTGAACTGGATCACCCATATTTTTTAGCATAAAATAATAAATAATTATGTAAACCAACAAAATTATTACACGAGAATTCATTACTTAGTTTTAAATTATGTTTATACATATGTATTTATTGAACTACAAAAACTCTTACCTTTGTTAATTTCAATAAAAAAAATATCAGGCGTTCAGTAATTGAGAACTGGGCACTTTTATTTCAATGTATTTCTTATTTTTACGATAATATTCGCGAGTTTATCGGTCACAAGGTCGTACGGAGTGGTCGCACGGACGCTGTGAATGCGACTGGTTGCGTTGCTCACACGTCGCGAAATATAACCGTTGTGTGTTGTAGAGACAGTCGGACACGTTTTCATAAACAGCCGACACTGATAGGAATAGGAACTATGTATGTAATTTTAATTAATTAGAGGCACATACAAGTGTTATTCTCTGAGAAGGTACAAGTGTGGGAGAGCCAAGCTTCGGCACGAATGGGTCGGCTCGATCGGAGTGATACCACGGCCTCACAGAATACCGGCGTGAAACAACCCACAGCGTTGTGTTTCGCCGTGTGAGTGAGGTTGCCGGAGGCCCAATCCCTCCCCCTCCCCTATCCCTTCCCGATCCTTATATCCCCTAAGCCTCCCCAAAAGACCGGCAACGCACTCGTAACTCCTTTGGTGTTGCGGGTGTCCATGGGTGGCGCCGATTGCCTACCATCAGGTAATACGTCTGCTCGTTTGCCGATCTATACCATAAAAAAACAGAGCTGGAAATCTATCAAGGAACGCATTTTTTTTATTCACACAACAACACTCACTCTTTTAGGTATGTGTATATTCTTCACCTTCAACTTTTCTGCAGGAAATCTAAGTAAGATATTGAAATATCTAGTGATAAATATAGTCTCACCTTTCAACGGTCAAGTTTGAGATTTTCTTTCAGTTGGCAAGTATATATTACACCTAGTTATATACATATAACTAGGTGCACTCATAACTTCAGGTTTCCTGTCTACGTAGAACATCTAAACATTTAGGTACTTAGGAACCTTCCAATTATTGAGGTTGATCTTATTCTTATTTTATGCAGATAATAACTTTTAGGAGATTCGGTGCAATGTTACGAATTTCGATCTGATATTGTCTAGTTTATTGATCGATATGCGTAGGTATTGCTTTGACTTCGTATTCATACCTCATTTTAAATACGAAAGAAGTAGGTAGTACCTATACCTACTACCGACTTCCCATTTTATATTGCCACATTGTTATTTACTCTGTGGAAGGGAAATACACTTGCTTACTAATATTTTTCTTTCGATAGATTGACCATAACACGTATCTCTTTGTTAGAGATAAATAAAATTCATTGCGCTTCGTTAGGGATGAACCTGTTACGCAAAGCCGGCAATCCGACCAGTGCGTCTACCGTGTCGTCTTCAGTGCAAAGATAGCTGCGTATACCTGATGTATTCACTATGACATAGCAGATTTAAGATGACAAACAAGAATAGGCTTTAAGATAAGTTAGGAAGGCGGAACTGTCGAACATGTTTTAAAACTGGGCATGATAATCATGGTTTCTAATTTTCTGATATTTATATTTGAAGACTTTGATTATAAGTAGTCGTATTTGCGATTTTGAATAATTTTGATACTGAATGCAGCAGAAAAAATTAAAAGTAGGTACTTATGTCAAGACTTCTTGAATAATATCAGCAGTTGTTACAGACAAATGACAAACATGACAGACAAATAAAAATGTAAACTAAGATTAAATTGAGTCATAAAAATCACGTCATTTGCGACATGATAGAACGATGCACTGGCCTACTTATGTTTTATCTTTTGTCTATTTTAAATTTTTATGGTTTACCAACTAAGGAAATTTATTTACAGTATGTTAATTCTACAGTGTCATGGCGGTGACGTAACACGCGAATGATTTTGCCGAGATGTTATCGTTACAAGTCACAAATATTGGGTCACGTTCACGATACCGTTGTTTATGTTAACTACACCGGGGATGCGTGAACTCCGCCTTATCATAATTATAACAATCATTTTTTCGTTTCAACTTAGACGATTTGAATTAAAAAATTCCGTGTCGACGGTACTTCATAGTAATGTTCGCTAAAAATTCGTTGTAAATATTCTGATAACTTTCATTTCACTTTTTTTAGTTAATATGTCTACTGTATACTGGTATAATTATTATTCTAAAGTTTATATATTTATTATTATTTAAGTTCATATATTTATATATAAACTTTTACCGCAAATTTACTTTTTATTACATGTCTGCCTAAAAAAGGATAGTATGTTTTTAGGGTTCATGTAGGTATGTAAGTACCTATCTGATTTTTCTGATGGGGTAACTATGGGGCCTAATTAACAAATAAGACATGTAATTTGAAAAAGTTCTCAATATAGCATGTCTTTAAATTATGAACTCTGATTCTGAAGTTTGAAGAGTAGATTACAAAAATATATCACACCAGGGTTCTATTTTTTCAAGAAAAACAGTTTTTTATGAGAAACGCGTTAGATGTGGAATACCCATGTATGATTATACTGACTCAGTTGCATATAAAACACACTTTTAGACTAGAGTGAATCCAGTATATGCGAAGCACTAAACTCGCGCGCTCACGGCCACGGTTGTAGCACGACTGCTTACGCGCCGGCGCTAGCGCATACACTACATCCCTTCTTTATTTATATTTATTTAATTAAATACATAGTTCCAATAAGAGTTCGTATACCTTACAACTTAATACCTTATAAAATAATAGCTTAAGTAAGTATAATTGATACAAATTTGGTGCAAAACAAAACAACTTGATTCGACTTAATTTTAAATTGGTATAACATAACAACAATCATATAGAAGCGTATTTAATAACATAACAGTATACAATAATTTCATAATTAATTAACATAGTTTAATTTAATAAAGATCATCATGTCTGTCTAAATCATCATCATTATTATTATTACCAACTACAGTCCATGAATCATTTACTTTCTTTAAGTGAACTATGTTACGTCGGTATTCTTTCCCGGTTTCATCATTTCGAACACTAATATCGCCACCATTTACGTCTGTTATTGTATGGGTAACGGGATTGAAGTTCGAGGTCAACTTATTATTTTTTATTACATTTTTTACCAGTACTTTCTCCCCTATTTCGCAGTTGCTATCTTTCGCTTTCCTTTTAAGATCCCCATACTCTTTTCCTTTTTCTTTCATTTGTAGGTCTCTGTCTCTCACTTCTTCATCTATTGTTTTGTATTCCAAGTCTGGTGCTGCCGGAATCTTGTCTCTAAACTGTCTTTTATAAAATAATTCTGAAGGAGATTTACCTGTAACAGAGTGTGGAGTACTATTATACATCATCAAATAATTAAAAATGTCCTCTTTCCAGTTCCCATTTTCAGTTTGGCAAATTTTGAGTCGTTTCAAGACATCCCGGTTTTGCCTTTCAACTTCCCCATTCATTTGAGGCCAATATGGGACAGTATTGTACAAAATGATACCACATTCCTTACAATATTTCTGAAAGACCTCGCTTGTGAACTGATTACCATTATCACACGTCAAAGTTGCTGGGTAACCTAATCTAGAAAACATTTCCTTCAAGACTTTTATCGTATCCAGAGAAGTGGTACTGCGCATTATTTTAATTTCCTTATATCTACTATAGTAATCAACAACAATCAACAGGTAATCATGACTAGGAAGCGGTCCCAAGAAATCCATCGCCACATCAACCCAAGGTTCTGCGGGAAGTGTTCGTCTCTTCATTGGGTGTGGTGGAGTAGGATTAGATACAAGTGTACAGCCTCGACAAGCTTTTACTAGGCGTTCAGCATCTTTATCAATTCTAGGCCACCACACCTTAGTTCTAAGACGAGCCTTCATCGCCACTATGCCTGGGTGGCCTTCATGAGCCGCTTCCAGTACTCGTTGACGGAGACTACTGGGTATAACTATCCTAGTTCCGCGAAGAAGAATACTCCCATTAAAACATAGTTCATTTCGTATATTTTTATAATAGTCAATAGAATCGTGCCATTCATTGTTAAAAATACCTTCTTTGACTTTCAAAATTTCCTCGTCTCCCACAGAATATGTTTCAATTTCTTTTAATGGAACCGCGACGGGCCTGCTGTAACTTACTATTTGGTTAATATAATTTTCAGAGTCAAATGGTTCTGACGAAGAAGTTTTGCAAAGTCTGGAAATTGTGTCAGCTATATTTAATTTACCTGGTTTGTAAACGACTTTATACCTGAACGCCTGTAACCTGAGGACCCACCGTTCTATTCTGGCGCATGGTTTAGAACTTCGTCCAAAAATGGTTTCCAATGGCTTGTGATCGCTTATTAGTTCGAAGTCTTTGCCCAATAGGTAAATTTTAAAATGCTCCACTGCCCAGACGAGCGCTAAAGCTTCTTTTTCCGTTTGGCAATATCTCTTTTCACAATCAGTAAGAGACTTGTGACCAAAAGCGATCACACGGGAGCCATCTTTGCCAACCTGGACCAACACTGCGCCTAACCCCACAGGAGAGGCATCAGCGATAACCTGGGTTTTGTCGGAAGGATTGTAATAACCTAAAGTTTTAATATTGGAAATGCTTTGTTTTAGAGCTTCAAACGCCTCATCTTGTTTGAATGTCCAAAATTTTTTGATGTTTGCTGATTTTCCAAGCCCTAGCCGTAATAGTTCTCGTAAAGGTTCAGTAAGGGTAGCTACGTTAGGAATCCATTTACTTACAAAGTTAACCAACCCTAAAAAGCTTTGAATTTCGTCAGTAGTATTTGGTATTCTACTAGTTTTAATTGCTGTCAAATATTTTTCAAGTGGCCTAATGCCCTTAGAGGAAAGTACATGACCAAGAAATTCAATTGTTTGAGTTTTATAAATGCATTTCTTTTTATTTAATAAAACGTTATTTTCCTCTAAAACTCGTAGCACCTTACTTAACCTTTCATCATGTTCTTTTTCGGTAGCACCATGTATAATAATATCGTCGATAAAATTTAATGTACCTTCGCAACCTAACAACATTTTTTCTAAAATTTTTTGGAACATTTCAGGTGCACAAGAAATCCCAAACATTAGCCTTTTGTACCTGTAAAGCCCTTTGCTAGTACTGAATGTAGTGATATATCGACAATCTTCATGAATTTCGAGTTGATGAAAAGCATTTCTAATGTCGAGTTTTGAGAAAAATTTTGCTTGCCGAAAATTAGGTAGTAGTTCATTCATCGTAGGAAGGGGATGATTTTCTCTGATGATTGCTTGATTAGCTCTTCTCATGTCTATGCAAATACGTACCTCTTCTTGTCCTTCTTTGAGAACTGGAACCATCGGGGATACCCACGGTGAAGGTTTATTAACTTCCTCAATTATGTCTGCTTCCTTGAGTTCCTTTAATTTTCTAGCCACCTTTTCTTCTAAAGGGATGGGAACCCTTCTGTATGGTTGAATGACTGGTTTAACTGTATGGTCTATTGGAATCTGGACAGTCACTCCTTTGAACTTCGGAAAAGCCTTTTCTAAATGTGCATCATTGCGGACAGCATTAATTTGAAGACCAATTTTGAGTACGCCTAATTGGATCGCAGTCTCTTTGCCCAATAGATCACGTGTACCGTTTCTGATGACATAAACAGTACATTTTATACTTTTATTACTACTGACTGAAATGTCTGCATCAAAAGAGCCCATAATGTCCAAAGGTTCTTTACAACCATAGGAAATAAGTGTCTTATTTGGTTTGCGTACCTGATTAGAAATTTTTACGCTATTATCTTTTATGAATTGCCATGTTCTGTCCGTAATGACATTGCATTTACTACCGGAATCTATTAACATGTCAACGCTAACTCCCCCTAAATTGCACTTAATAGTTTCTTCTTCATCCAGATGGAAAATATAGTCAATTCTAGACTTATCCATTTCCTTCTCTTCGACTTCATCAGCTTTATTTTTTGTATTTTCGTCTTCATCCAGGTTGAAAATGTAGTCTATTTCAGATTTATCAGCGTCTTTTTTGGTGCCTAGTCTTGGTTTCTTGTGTGTCATCTCTGTCTTGTTGTTTGAAAACTGTCTTTTCTGTCGGGTCCTACAATGTTCACGGAAATGACCGATGAAGCCACACTTTAAACATCGTTTATCTCTTGCTGGACATTTTGTGTCTTCAGATAAATGGGAAGAGCTTCCACACCTAGAACATTTTGTGTTTGATGATTGTTTTTGTAAATATTTATTATATCTTTTTTTATGATCAATTTTATTAATTTCTGCTTTGTTCAAATTGTTTCCATCTTTCGTGCTTATTGTTTGAAATTGTTCTAATTGCCGGGCTACAACCTCCAATGCATTTGCTTTACTAATAATTTCGTCTAGTGTAATTGTATCACCACATTCTAAAATTTTTTTTCTTAATTCAACTGTTCGACACTTTTCGGTAATTTGGTCAATAATATGCTCCTCTTTATTATGGAATTGACATTTGTCGGCTTGATTTCTCAATTTTAATAAGAATCGTTCAAATTTTTCTCCATCCTCCTGTTTCATGAGTCGAAAAAGGTATCTTTCGTAAATCCGACTTTGTTTTGGAGCAAAATAACCATCCAATTTCTTTAGAGCAATTGCATAGACATCGACACCTTCTGTTACTTCGGCATGAGCTCCAGGAAGGTTATAATAAACTTCTTGAAGTGCTATCCCTCCAACATGAAGAAGAGTAGCACGTTTCTGTACCGGAGTATCGACGTTGGCAGCTAGTAAATAAATTTCAAATGCCCTCTTCCATTTCTCCCAGCGAGTGCCAACAGATGTCGGGTCACCTTCGCAATCAAAATGGTCTAGGTTCGGCAGTACAGATGGTGCAAGAGTCATTTTGGGGCAGCCTGTAATAAAACATTGGCTTTCATATTGCGTGGCTTTTTACTAAAAATAGTAACAGTATGCAACTGCGTAGCCCTATTATGAGTTGGTGATTATTCATAGCATGGACCGTATTATATTATTATTTCGCTTAAAACATATTACACAGTCCCTTTAAATAAGCTGATTTATTGACATGATCCTTCATTGCATGGCCTTTTAGTGCACCTTTACTTTAATTGTGATTTGCATGGCCCTTTGTCACTTATTAATTGCGTGGCCTTTAGGTGTACCTTTATTATAACTATGATTTCATTAGTGTGAATTGTGCAAGCGTACATAAGTAGGTGGAGTAAAATAGGATATTTTTTGATAATAATGCAACAAAATAGTTGAATACTGAATCTTCATCCACATATTTTGTACCTAGTAAACTTAATTGTAATTGAAATTCGTATTACTTTTTGATTTGTTACTAATTAAATCATATTAAATAATAAAAACACATATATGTTGAAAATAAAAATTGTAATTATTGTGCGGGTAGGTGTTTTTTTTTTTTATTTAGATTTGTGAATAGCACTATGAAAGCACTATAGTAAATGTAAACTTAAAACTGTAATTTGTAACACGAATACTTAGTAAATATTTTCCTCATAATTTTATTGTAATGTGTATTATTTTTAGGAACATACTTATTTATTTCGAACGTAAATTACAATTTAACTAAGATGTGTCGTGAGTAAGAAGGTACGTATGTATACGTGCACAATAACATTTCTTTGTTTTTTTTTTTCATAGTTCTGTGTTTGCGTGGCCTTAATTTCTTTTCACGTGGTGCAATACCAGCCATTTATGACAAAGATATTGATAAAATTCATTTACTAAAAAACTTTGTTTACGTATGACAACGTTACCTATTATTTTGGGTGCTTATGAGTTTGGTGTCACTTTATTTATTTTTTGTTATGTAGGTAAGTGACAGTTATTTTGTTTTGAACCAATGTTATTCATAAAGCGTGTTATCAATTAGTAATAGGCTATTTGTAACGAACCCATACGCAAACAACTGGTAAGCAATAATTAATTATTTAATTAAGTATTTGTTTCTCCGTCTTTTCTTTTTTTTTTTTTTTTTTTTTTTTTTTTTTTTTTTGACATTTTGTACTTACTTTTATTCTCGTCGCCACTTATACTGACTCAGTTGCATATAAAACACACTTTTAGACTAGAGTGAATCCAGTATATGCGAAGCACTAAACTCGCGCGCTCACGGCCACGGTTGTAGCACGACTGCTTACGCGCCGGCGCTAGCGCATACACTACAATGATGAAATGAAATAAATAGGTCTGGTATTCTTGAGCAGGTAATAAAACAAAATATCCCACAATGCAATACTTAAGACTTAACAAGGAAAAAAGAGTTTGCTATAAGAAAATTCACATTTTCCTTTACTGACACTTATTTGTCAGTACCAAGCTATTTCTTTGGTGGGCCATGTGGTTATGAACTTAAAACTGATAACTAAAGTCATTGATCTTACATTTTCCAGGAATTTTGATGAATATACGAAAAAAGAAAGAAAGAAATAACCACACAATGAGGAAAATTGAGGTCATCTTTTCATCATTTTATATGAGTAATTTACAAACAAGAAAAAGGGTTTTCCATAAACAAAAACTACAATTTAATTTCATTTGACGTTTATTTATGAAACAAGAGAATCTTAATTACAAAACGATTTTAGTCCGTCACGTACAAGGATTAAATTGATAATAGCTTTTAGTCATCAGATCAAACTATAAGACATAGCTTAACAACATACATAAAAATATGTATACAAGAAAATATAGTAGTTCCTATACAAAACACAAGTTGCCATTGAAGCCTTGCTTATTTTATCTACCAAGGAATACATCGAATTTCAAATATTTTTATATTGTTATTTTTTTTATTCCACCCTTATAAAAATTCTTACATTGTTTATGCCTTCCCTTCCCGCCGACTTTAGCATATGACAATAATTGACAGAAATAACCTTAAGGGCCTAGTTAGGTAGCCCGCTTAACTTAATCTCGTAGAGCTAATTATTGCAAATTGATAATTAGGATCTAAGTTGTAAGTACTGTTTAAGGAGGAAGTAAAAACCATGGAAAATTGAGCTTCTTAATATAAATACATTCTTATGGTTTTGCTTTACTTTATTGATTAAGCTGAGGTGTACTTATAGTACAATAGTTCCTATTAGCTAGTGATGTGTGAGTCCTAAGTTAAAAAGGGTGAGTCATCTACCAAAACATTCATTCAGAGCATCTAATACAGAGGTTTTGAGTAAGTTTTTTAGACATAAAACCTAGAGCCCACGGTTTATGCTTCCTAGTTGTTTGATCAATAAGATTATATTGAAATCGAAATCTATGTTAGAACGACAAAGTATTCTTTGCAAAATGTTTCGCAGACATTTGTAATAAGGCGGATTGTAGTGTGATAAAATGATTACAATAAGAATGTTTGTAGAAGAATTGCTTTAGAAAATGTTGGCATTACTAATTGGCAATGAGGATCATCATGAGTAAACCACAGCCTTATTAGAAGCAACCTACATCGGAAGCATCGATACCTAACATTGCCAGATCATCCATTTCTTCCTTCTTTTTCGCAATGCTTCCATTCTTATCTTCTTCTTTAGGTTTCTGAGGTGGTTCAGGTTTTGGCCTCTGTTCTGGTTTATTATGCTTTTGTTGTCTGTTCTTGTTATGTTGCGGCCTTGGTTTGGGGCTGGGTACTAGGGGCACATGTGTGTCGTAGAGTTGGGGTCGCGGTTGGAACCGTGGAGGGTTGAGGTCGAAACCAAACATCTGTGTCATTTGTGTCTGCATGAGTGGGAGGGGCGGGAAGGGTGGCATCACTCCTCCGAGGCCTGGTACGAAGCCAGGCGGTAATGGGAACAAGCCGTCTCCTTGTGAGAGGTCTGGTTTTATTTCCGTAGGGAAGATAATATCCAGTGCATCCTGGAAGTCTTTAGGTAGAGTTGGCTGCTGTGGAGGTTGCGGAGTTTGTTGCCTGTAAACAAAAATAATTATTATGAGCAAGCTGATATAGATGTGAATTCGTTTTATTTGTTGTAGAGCCTATCATTTTTAGGGTAGACGTGATCTGGAGTAAAAGTTATGACCAGACAGTGTAGGACTTGGTTATGGATCTCTAGCAATGACTTTCAGTTAGACAGCTACAAAATGGTGGTAGTAATTTGATACGAAGAGTCGGAGATAGATCTTATTGGCGTTATAGAAGAGGCGTTGGCTGTGTCAGCCCAAGTTGGATTTGGTATGATGACGAAGACGGTTTTAGAGGAAAAATGACAGTGATGAGACCGTGTAGGTACTGACATGAGTTGCGGCGGCGCGGGTGCGGCAGGGCCGGGCAGGTAGGACAGCGCGGGCGCAGGGGCGGCGGGCGCGGGCGCGGGCAGCGCGGAGACGGCGGGCACGGCGGGCGGGGGGGCCGCCAGCGCCGTGGGCAGCGCCAGCGGGGGCGGCGCCAGCTCCACCTGCGCCTGTCGCTCCAGCTGCGCGCGCGCTATCTTCTCTTTGAACTCCGCCACCTGATGGGCCACCAGACGATGTATATGGTTCAGTTATTGTATTACAAAATTCAAACGTCAAAATTCAGTTGTAAACAAGATGTTATGTGTTGTGAATGAATTGCGAAATGAATACTTTAAATTAATCTGAAATATTTTTTTTTGTGAGACAACAAATTAAAAACTTTTTAAAACTTCGATTTCTCTCAAGATTTTTTGACAAAGTAACAGTACTATTTTATTAAAAGTACAAACCTTCTTCTGTATTTCAGCATCCATCTCCTCTCGTCTCTTCTTGGTAAGTTCTTCCTCTTCTTTCTTCTTCAGTTCTTCCTTTTTCTGTTCCTCGGTTTTGGAATTCTTTCCCAAATGCTTGTAAACAGGCATTTTTCCTATAGCAAATATAGTATACAGACATGTTCAACATTTTTGTTGGTACAAATACCATCACCACAATTGTATAAGAATGTTACTTTAAGCTGTGATTGAAAGAGCTATTCTACAGTGCATTATTGTGACTAAAAGGTTTAGTTGAACTCATAAAAAGTTTAAATGAAGTAATTTTGTTTAATAAAGAAGGAATTAACTTGCAAGTTATAGTCTAACACCCAGTTTCTGAAAGGCTTGTCAACGCTAAAATTAACTAATCTCCTGTTAAATCTCTTGTCAAGTCATCTGATTGGTTGTTGATAATTCAGTCAACCAATCAGATGACTTGACAAGAGATTAAATTGATTTTAACATTGATCGGCCTTTCGGAAACCGGGGGTTAATGTCTACTATAGCATTATCTCAACTATTGTAGTGGGAAAAGGTTCAAATATTGAAAATAATCAAGATAGTTATGGTAGTTACCTATAAAAGGCATCTTCCTGACTTCTGGTTTCTTGGTGTCGAGGTGGGGCGTGGTCTCTCTCTCCCTCTCCCTGTGCTTCTGTTCCTCCCTCCTGTCTTCTCGCCGGCGCATATCATCGCGACGATCTCGGTCTTCGCGGGCGCGAGATTCCCGCCGTTCGCTTTCTCTGTATTTGTTAAAATATAATTTTATAACAAGTCACTACAGTATTTTATTGTGAACTTTTTTATTAGCTTGTTATTGATAGACTATGTTCAGTTTTAATATAGATTTTTTTTCAAATTCAAATTCAAATTAATTTATTGTTTGTTACATGTTTACAATTAGATGTTATTTTATAATATTAGTAGCAATGTAACATACCTAGTATAAGGTGTACAATCATATATGATAATTATTTGAAATTAGGTATTCTACTTCAGTATTCTAACATAAGTCGCAAAATTTAATTATTACAGTAAAAAAATATGTCAATTCACATTATGCCACGAGATATTTCTAAATTATTACATAAAATTATTAAATCCTAGTCAAACTATTATTGAAACATTTTGTTAAACTTTAATTTGATACACAGTGCCTGTTAGTCGGAATATCAGTAATTGTGTATGTATTATTAGTCAAGTTGGGATATTGGTCAAAATACAAACATTGGTCAAATCCTATTAATTAAGTCAATAATAACAAAAATAAAATAAAAAAATATTGAAATTCACGAAAATATGTCAGATTACACATAATTAAATGTTTTACATTGAATATTGAACATTTAATCTTTGTCATTAAAAAAATCTTCTATAGTGTAATAGCATTTCTTATGCAAATAACGTTTGAGTTTACTTTTAAACATGTTGAAATGTAAGTCTTGTATGGATTTCGGTATTTTGTTATAAATCTTAGGACCTAAACATATTATGCTTTTGTGCAACAATGCAGTTCTGGACGGATGAATGCAAATATTATCTTTACGTCGATTTCTGACATGATATTCGGATAAGCGCGGAAACAAATGTAAGTTGCTTCTAACAAACAATGCAACTTCAAGTATGAATAAAGACGGAAGTGTTAGAATTTTGTGATCTCTAAATAGCGGTCTACAACTGTCCATACTTTTTATTCCGAACATAGCTCTTAAGCAACGTTTTTGTTGTTTGAAGACTATATCTTTGTGAGTGGAATTACCCCAAAAGATAATCCCAAACCTAAGTACCGACTCGACAAGGCCGTAATATGCTGTGAGTAAAGTTTCCCTATTAACAGTAGGTGCCAATTTGTAAAGGGCGTATGCTGACTTGCTGACTTTTTTACTCAGTCCGTCAATATGGTTTTTCCAATTAAGTTGCCTATCAATAATTAAACCCAAGAATCGACTTGTGTCTACTTCCTGTATAGTATATTCGTTATACATTAGATTAATTGGTAATGAATTTGGTATATTTTCCCGCTGTCTAAAGTGCATTATACTAGTTTTTTTTAAATTAATTTTTAAATTGTTATTATTAAGCCAGTCGATTATATTTGACAATGAATTATTTATTTCGAAATAGTAATTATTTATATGTTTAGATTTTATAGTTACGGTGCTATCGTCAGCGAAAAGAACCATAGGTTCTGTTGTAGCCGAAGGCAGGTCGTTTATGTACAATAAGAACAAAAGGGGACCTAATACACTACCTTGAGGAACGCCATAGGATACGTCACGCTTTTGGGATGGAAATGTCTGTTCCCTTTTAGTTTTTGGATTAAACTTTGTTATTTCTGTTATTTGTTGACGACCTGTTAAATAAGACCTGATTAATTCCAATACATTACCTCGTATACCGTATGCTGAGAGTTTTTCTATTAAAATATTATGATCTACGCAGTCAAAAGCTTGTGACATATCGCAATATATTGAGCAAACAGGCAAGGACTTGTCGACATGTGTGTATACATCGTACAAGAAGTCATATACTGCCATGTTAATATTATTTCCTTTTCTAAAACCCTTTTGATTATTACATAGAATCCTATGTTTTTCTAAATAACTATTGATTTCGGTGTATAAGTATTTCTCAAATATTTTAGAAAATATAGGTATAAGAGCTATTGGTCGGTAGTTCTCTATTAAAAATTTGTCTTCTTTTTTATGCAAGGGTTTTATGATAGTAAGCTTTAGGTCTTTTGGAAACGTACCATTTACTATACACAGGTTCAATATATGGCTTAAATGGCATGCAATACCCTTACCCACTGACTTAATTATTTTAGTGGGTATTCCATCATAACCGACACTATTTGTGTTTCTTAAATTATTTATAATTCTTAACATCTGAATCGGTAGACAAGGCGACATAAACATGGAGTTTGTATTGTGGCCAATCATTATCGTGGATTCTTTACCTGCACCAACGATAGGTTGTACTTTTTCAATAAAATGTTTATTAAATGCGTCCGCTATTTCTGTAGGATTTTGGATAAAAGCGTTATTAATTTTTATTTTATCTATCGAATCTTTTGGTACAGAAGTTTTGTTATTGTTAATTACTTGCCATGTTGATTTACTTCTATTAGTTGATGTATTTATTTTATAATTATTTTGAGCCCGTTTTGTTAAGGTTATAATTTTTTTAATTTTTTTTGAATAGTTTATATAATTCAATTTGTTTACAAGTGTGGGTTTACGCCTAAAATTCCATAGCATCTCTTTTTTCTTTTTAGAACACATTTTAATTCCACGCGATAACCGTTTTGGTTTGTTATTTACTTTTATCAAAACTTTTTTTACCGGAAAACATAAGTCAAAGAATAGTTTAAATGTATCTATGAAATTACTATATGCTAGTGTTGGGTCATCAGTTTCGTATATTTCACTAAAAGACAAACTTTGTATACACGTTTTGAATTTTTGTATATTTACAACACTAAAATCTCGCGTGAACTTATACCATTGTTTTAATATTAGCATTTTTTTGACCGGTATCCTAATTACTTGTGCTGTATGGTCCGACATGCCAAGTTCAAGTATATCAGTTACACATGGTTTCTGGGAATTATGAGCAAAATTATCTATACACGTGTTACTTAATTTTCTAGTAGGTTGTCTCAGCGCTAATTTTAAATTGTAATTCAACAGTAAACATTCAAAATCCAAAGTTACATTATTGCACTTTAATACATCAATGTTAAAATCACCGGCTATAATGGTATTATTGGATTTAATTTTAGAGATATGTACAAGAATTACCTCAAATCTTTGGAAGAAAATGTTCAAATTACCTTGTTTGGGTACTCTATACACACAGACAACAACAATTCCAAATTCTATCAATTCAATAGCACAACACTCGATAACATTGTTAATAGATAATTTGCTTATTTGAGAAAGTTCTCTAAACTTGTGTATATTGTTGACAATTATGCAAGCTCCACCTCTTTTGATCTGGCTTCGACTGAAAGTGGCAGCAAGAGTATAGTTCTGCAGATTAAAAACTGTTTCATGACCGGCTAACATGAAATGTTCTGTAATACTTAGTACATCAATGTCTATATTCCTATCTTTAAGCTCGTCTAGATGAATAGATAATATATCAGACTTATTTATAAGACCTGCAATATTCTGGTGTAGAATATTCAGGAATTTAATATCGAAAAAACAGAGAGTTACAATCATCTACAACAGCAGTGTCACTTTTGTTTAGTTTACATTTTTGTTGGAAGTTGGAATTTATATAGTTTATCAGCAATAGTACATTTTCAAAAATATTTCGAATGCCATTATTATTTATTACACCTGTTCGTAAGTTAAACATAGAACTATCAAACGTTAAATCATAGTTGGAATCTAAATAGAATGCATGTTCGTGCTTTATTAAGTCTAAGTATAATAGATTATTAAATGTCTCAATTCTCCAGTTGTAAAGATTGTTATAATTGGTAAGTTTGTACGTAGGAAAGCAAATTATGATGTTTGTGTGACTAACTTGTTTTAGTATTTTTCGAATTAAAAGTATGTCGTTGTCATAGTTGCTAGTTGTCTTGAAATCTTCTTCTCCAATTAATATAATGCAGTAATCAGTCATTGTATAATCACGCAGCTTTGTTTGTATCCCGTTAAGAAGTTGCTCCGTTGAACCATTAGGTGTTATGTAGTGACATATGTTGTATCTATCTAGTAGAAGCTTCTCAGCGGTCGATAGTATTCTATTTTTATTGTTAGTGCTTAGTATACATATTTTACTTTTCTGGACGACGGTAGGTGTTTCATTTTTATTGATCTCTAACGCTGAAGCTTTGATCGTGGGTTTTGTAGACCTAATTTCCGTGTTATTGGTATTAGTTGTCCACGTTTGTGTTTGCTTAGTTTCCAAATTGTGCTTTTTAGATTTTTTTGTTGGTGTATTGTATTTTTGTTTGATTGGACTACTAGTAATTTTACTGAGTACTTCATTCTTTTTCATTAAGTCCTCATTTGCTGTTCGTAGTTGAGAATTCTCAGCAGACAATAATTCAATTTCGTGGTGTGCACTTTGTAATTGTGATTCTAGATCCAGTAGCTTAGTCTTCAATAAAGTAAGTTGTTCATTTTCGTCTTGAGATAGTTCTGGCATACTATTGACGGTAGACTCAAGTGTGTCAGAGATTATATCGCTGTCATTGAGCGCTGTATCTGAGCAAGTCCTATTGCGGTTGCGACGGAAAGTAATGTTCTCTAGAAAATTCATTTTTATGCTTGTATTTCACTAATTGTGCCACAATCTTATAGTTTATGAAATAAACTTTCGATAAACTAATATAAACATTCACAAAAAGAGCAGCATGTGCGAACGAGGTTTGATCCCGAGACTCCTTGCACTACCGGGCATCTGTAGCGATCAAGCTATTCGAGCATTAATATAAGTGACGAAATAGTCTGTCTTATTATGGTTGACGATTATTTTTTGTACGTTAGGACGCGGTAGTTTGAAATTTTTGAAAGATGAACGACTGATATTTTATTTAAATAAACACTTTCGGATATTTATCGCTCTGTGCACTATTATCACTATTAATTGTTTCGAAACACAAATGCTGGCTTAAAACATCACTTATTAGACGTTAATTGTTTATTTTTATGTTTTATGTTTATAATTGATTTTTATTTTTACACAGACGTTTTTGGGTTCTTGTACCTAATATTTTGGTTTTTATGGAAAATTGTTTGCTGTCCACAATCACACTACTTTATTGCTTGTAGATTTACACTTTCACACTATAATTTTATGGAAATTAATGCAATAACTATTTTTACAATATTTTTATACACGGAGTAGAAACGAACGGTGACGGTGGCGCCACTTTTTTTTTTTAAAAGATTTGTGGGTATTTATTCTTTTTAAGTCATAGAGAATTATAACTGACCTCATTTTTCTTGATAATTCAGCTATGGAGCGCTCCCTATCACTGTGATCGGGTGACCTGCCTTCAACTGCTTTTTCTTTCTTCATTCTGAAAATAAATTAAATAAAAGTAATTATTACAAGGAACTTAAAAGTCTTGGTGGCAAAATGAGTTGGTTGTTAGGTCCTAAAATATGTAATCGACTTTTAATTTTGGTAGATTGATCTCTGGTAGGGGATGGAAACACGAATAATCCACTCAAAATAACATAATACATTGAACCCTTATTACTATCTATTCAACCAAATTTGAGTTTTATTACGAAGGAGAAATGACAATTGGCGGTAGCAGTGAATATGTTGGTTTTGTGACCAATTTATTGTTTTATTATCATTTTTATTCTTATTGTAGATAAGTTAAATTCAGTTGAACAGAAGGTTAAAAACGACGAATTTGGAAGCGAATTTTTTAAGATATGATGAAATGATAAAATAGGTTACCTGCTTTTAAGTGTATCCAGCAGTTTCCGATCATTATCATTGAGTTTGTCCATCTGTATGTTGGACATCCATTCCGTGAGGGTTTTATCATCTCGACTTTCCAACTTACTCCTTTGTTTTTTAGCTGCAAATATACAATTTTACTTTAATGTACACCACAACTTTGTGTCACCCACAGATTGTTTCGGATCTGGATGTTATTGTGTATGTGAAGTTATATTTTTGTGAAACTAACCCACGTCATATAGGAAATTCTATGAAAAAAAGAATACAAAAACGAAATAAACTCTAATTATTGTTAATGACTATTAATAAACCATAAGGAACTTGATTTTTCTTGAGGAATTTATATATTCTATGCAAAGATTTTATATAGAAATTTAATTAAAAGAAATGAGCTCCGACATACCTTTAGCCTTTTTCTTCTTAACAGGCTCACTATCCCCACTGCTAGACTCACTAGACGAGCTACTGCTACTCTTTCTCTTACTCTTTTTTTTCTTATCCTTCTTCTTTTTCTCTTCTTGTGGGGCAGGAGAGTCCTTATGTTTCGTATGGAACCCATCTTTGTTAAATGTTATAGTATGGGAAGTATACTGAGCTGGTTTTTCATCGGACTTGCCTTTTGTAGCTCGAGATTTTTCGAAGGCTTTCTGACGGTCCGACATCCAATCTGTTTCCCAGTGTGGATTTTGTTCTACGAAGTTCTGTCAATATTTGAAAAGAATTATTATATTAATAAAAAAATATGCTATTACCTAGACTATTCTTAAATTAGTAACCAGTAACAACTGTTTTCATGTCTCGGGAATAATAACCGTGATAAAGTGGCAACAAAGACCATTATTCATTAAAACTACCTACCGGGTTTGATGTTATGGGATGAATGAAATGAGAAAAGCTCTATTTTCTACTATTTTCAGTTCATAACGAGACTCTTATTCAAGAGTAGCGTGCGCGTCGAAGTGACTTAGCACAGTTAACTGAGTTAGTTAGTGGAGTATTTTTCAGTTTAGTCTCGTGACAATAATTTTTCATGGCAATACAAAACATCTATCTAGTCGTAACAGAAATACTTACAGTATAATTCTTGGAATGTACAACAGATTTTAGATGTGCAGAAGCACAATGGAGATCGCCAATAAATTGATCGCACAGCTTGCAGTACCACGCCGTAGAGGGCACGAAGAATTGGAGGCCTTACGGAGGAAAATAAAAAATAATCTAATAATTTATGTACACACAAACAGCATAGAGGAAAATACATAAAAAAAATAAGAGTACAAAGGTGCTACTTATTCCTGTTGGAATTTCTTCCAGTAGACCTGAGACAGGAAATGTAATAAAAATATTAGACACAGTGTGTAACAAAAGTGAAAAAAAAAGAACTAACGATAACAATATAAATACTTCATTATATCATATAAATATAAATACTTAATATAAAATAATAACAATAAATAAGATACACATATAAATAAACGTATCTATAGGTACTCATGAAAGGTAATGGTCCTTAATTAGTTTTTTGAAGAGAGCAAGCGATTTAGCGTCACGAATGTTAGGCGGGAGAGAATTCCACAGTCTCACAGCATAAACGGTGAAAGAATAGGAGAAGAAGTCGGTATTATGAGGCACGATTTTAAGGTTTGACTTGAGATGAGAACGAGTTAGGACTTCAGGAGGACGCACCAAGGAGAAACGGTCACGGAGGTAAGCGGGATAAGTGGAATAATGATATATACTGTCACTTTATATGTATAAAATATTTGAAGTTAAATATATTAATGTTAGTTCTTATAGATAAATGTACGTAACAATTAGATTAAAATTTATTAAGACTAATAGAGATATCATATAAAATTATTGATTTATTTTTCTTCAGGGTGTAAAAGGATCACATTAATTTCGTGTACCTATAATAACAACATGGCTGGCAATGTAGCCAGCTACTGGGTGATGTTTAGTCACAAATTTTTGTTTTAGGTCTGAATGTGGGGTGATTGTGCCTTTTCTTGTTTCTAAACGCACTTACGACAGAGAGCAGCAGTGAGGCAAACTTTTTTTTTAAATATCTGATAAATATTTATTATTAAAATACTGTATTAATTAAACACTTTAAAGGTGGCCATGTTCCAATCTAAATCTATTGCAGCCTGTTTAACTATAGGTAATAATTTTAGCTGTTTTTGAATATTACCTTTAATAGGTGTACGTTTAGTTGGTGCCGCGGGGAAGCTCGGGAATCCTTCGTTGACGCCCGATACGGTGTGCCATGGAGCTTCCATGTGTGCTGCGGCCATCCTGTATAAATAACAAACAATTATATAGATTACTAGCTACTCTCGCGCGGTTTCACCCGTTGCTTGGCTCCATTTAAACGTAGCGTGATGTTTTATACCCTATGGCACTCGGGAATATTGTAGCTATCAATAAGTGATAGAATTTTGGGAATCCGAATTGGCGGGAGTGCCTAAGTTCAAGCTGTATGGTAGCCATTCTATTAAATAAAAGGAACTTACTTGTGATGTGCAGGGGAGTGCAAATGGTTCAGGTAATCCTTGGCAGTAGGCGGGAATTCATTGCAGACGCGGCACCAGTGCATCTCAGGATCGTAATACACATAGTTGAATTTCTTGTTCAACGGTGACCTGACGGAAATCAGAAGCTGTATAGCAGTTATATTTAAAGAACGAAAAAAAAACCAATACAATATTATTGTGCTCACATATAATTCTCGCGTAAAACGGCCATTCCATATTTAAATAAGAAGATAAAATAATATTTTTTTAAAAAAATCTTCATTTGGTTTTTTTCCTTAAGTAACAGGGGCAATATGTACCGTCATTTATATATCGTCATATTGGCGTTCTTATCTTGATAGAAAAATATAGAAAAAGAAAATTATCTTTTCAACATCAACATTTTATTTTGCTTTAAATAGAAACACCAGTGCTTACAACCAGATTTAATGTGCATATAACAAAAGTTACATCAGGATTTATTTGTTAAATATAATAAACTATATTTATCACATACATTGATTTTAGCATAACAAATTATTAAAACAGCAATTGTACCATTTTAAGCTAAAAACTCACAATATCTTATCTTAAATCTTACATTTTTAATTTATAATTAAAATATTTTTTTTAGTAAAAAAGTACAGCATGTTTAAGCAATCCATCGGTGAAACTTCGAGCTTCTTTCTTCACAAGTTGACCATTCACATTATAATAATCGTCATAGCAAATAGTTCCCGCGGTCCTGTCATGTATATCCTGCTTTTTGAAAGAAAGATGTTGAAACTAAAAACTATTTATTTATACACATTTTTAAATAAATCATAAAGAGCATTCAATTAGGAAAGCTTATGACTATATAAACATTTCGCCAATTTCAAACCTTATTTATAAAGAAATAAGCTTCCAAATTATAAACAATCATTGAAAACATAATTCAACCTGTGATAGGGCTGGACTGACCTAGATTTCCGTTTGGAGTTGCGTTCGGACGCGTTGTCGTTGTCCTCGTCGACAATCTCTTGCGCTTCTTCACCGATGATCCCGTTGAGCATGTCCACAACATTGTAGATGGTCTTCAACTTATTCTGTATCTCCAACTATAAGAAATGCATCGAAGCCAAACATTATGTACCCTACTTATAAAACAAGCCTTATAGTATAGCAAAATATACACAAATGTGAGCTGTGTGACTTAAAACATAAGATATATTGTTGTGTATCGCATGTCAAACCTGCAATTTGGTGTTTTCCTTCAAAAACCTCTTGGTGTCTGGGCTCGGCGATCGTTTCGCGTCGCCTCGAAGTTCATTCCGTTGGTCTTTCAAAGTCTCCATCTCTTTCTTGAGTATATTTGCTTTCTTTATGTAATCTTCCCTCTGTTTGGACAATGCTGCTTTCTGATGTCGCATTTCCGACTCGATTGCAGCTGCGAAAATATTTCATTATTTTATAAAAAGTGTTAAGTGGGTAAATTAAGTGTACTGTCATATTTTTGCATTGCAAATAAGGAAACTGTTGTACTTCTTTTAATAACGTAAGTTATTAATATGACAATACACTTAATCAAAGCAAATATATGTAAATCAAGACTTCTCTTAGCTCATATGGAACCCATTCTGCTAAACTCTAGAGGCTGTTTCAAGCATAAGTACCTCTATTGTGGAATATTTGGCTGAATTCAAACCATGCAAATTGCAAGTAATAGCAGAATGTGGTTGGAGGCAGTACAGTCATTGTATTATTAGTTAAAGCAGTGAGAAAGTTGCTTCAGTTGTTTGCTGCAGGTCATCACACCAGAATATAAAACTTGGGTCAACACTTTCCTATAAAAGACTTACAAACTAAATGTAACAGGAAAATATAAGAATCCTTGAAATATTACAACATACACAATTCGTTTGTTGGGGAAATATATCTTTACAACAATATATAAAAATGTATATAAAGCTAGAAGAGATAGAAATTGTGTATTTGGAAGCAGAGTAAAAATTTTACTATCTGTGAGTTGTTTTACTTTAACTTCCAGAAACAGAATTCCAGTTATCGTTCATTTAAGTATTTTTTATATGAGTAGTAGTCTTTTTTGTAGTTTTAAAGCATTCTAATTTCAGTAAACCGTGAACTACTTACATGATTAAATTGGTTAGTTTTAACATGGACATTAAAATAGAAGAATAAATAAACAAATGTTTGCACATTATACAAATAATAACAAAAATGTTAAAAATTTCTATAAAAATAACATTGATTAATTATACACATACACTAAGACTTAAAATAAAAGAATAAACAAGTTTACATCTAAATTCTCAAAAAGAGTTTAGCCATTTTGAATAACCTGCATAAAACCTTCTTGCAGATCTGTAAAGAAAAACATATACCTAGTTTATTTTAGATAGGAGCATGGCATACCTTCTTTCTTGATCTGGTCTTCAACATTGCTGATGAAAGGTGCTGGTGGCTGTTGAGGAGGCGGGGGCAGCGACATCTGGTTCCATGAGGACATGTCTGGAGGTATTTGGGGTTGAGGAACTGCACCCACTGACGGGAAGTCATCATAGATACCGGAGTATGATGGCTGATAGTTGGAGTTGTAGTTTGAGGCTGATGTTAGTGATGGCACACCCTTAAAATAAATAAGAAATAAATTAGTGTTAAAATAAATAAAAAATTAAGTAATGAGGAAGGCATAGTACATTTCTGGCCGTAAGCACTTTTAGAAGCAAAAGCAATACATAGCTTCACAATTTTGTTTGTTCTTCACAACTTTCACACAAAATTGTGAAGTGTGTAAATAACATATGAATGAATTGCATTCAGCTATTAATGAATAAAGGTGCTGTTAAATGGGCAATATTTTGATGCAAAATAGTGCTTAGCAAAATTATGATGATTTGTTAATGGCACATTTACAAGCATTACTTAATAGGAAACATAGTCTCAAAAGTCTAGTCTAGCTAACCTTATCTATGAAATGAAGTGAAATTAAAACATATACAAGTATAATTATATATTAAAATAACATATAAATATTTTGTAAAATAACTCATGCAATTGTAAAATTTGATAAGTTTTGTTATGTCATCAAAGGAGATGGCTTTTTGCTAGGCCATGGTTATCACTCTGGCCAAGCCAGATCATTTGTGCCAAGACATGGCTCTTTCACATTTAACAATCAATAAAATCTTTGTAATTGATCTTAAATATTTTCCCATCTAATTGCTTGATAGTTACTAGTATCTGTATTACCTGACAGTGTAATATAATGTAATTTTAATTGCAAAGTTTATGCAGTTCTTCTACTAAGCCGTCTAATACACCCGGATATGGATGTCAAGACACTGTTAGCCTAAATATCAGAGCAATTAAAAGCTGCCAAGGCTGCAGCCACATTGTGCTAAAAAATATTGTCCATTAGGAGCTCTTTAAATGAAAAAAAAAAGAAAATCACAGTTATCAACTCCAATACTTACTCTTATCAATGTAGTCGAGTTAGCCAAGCTAACAATGTTGATTTATAGCTGTTTTTAATTAAATTTACATAGAATACATCTCCAATACTAATATTTGTTTGAAGACAAAGTGACATTTCTTTAATACTAAGCTAGTTTTTTTGTTTCTGTACAGACAATTACCCAAGTATTTTATGTGTTGCAGTGCTTTTAACTAGATGTAAGACTCGTATACTTTACCTCAGGTGGGGGGAATCCAGGGGGCGGCTGTTGGAAGCCTACGTTGTCTTGGAACTGTTGATTGTCCCACAGTTCACTTGGTTCAGGTAGTTTTGATATCTCGCTAAGTATGTTCTCATCCAAGAGATCTTTGTCGTTCTTGGCTCGAGGCGAGCGGCTTCTTCGCTTATCGTTGTCGTCCCTTCGTGGAGGAGTACGGCTCCGTTTATGCATAGGACGGCTCCTATAATCCCGATCCCGAGGATCCCGCAGATCCCGGTCGCGGTCCCGATCACGGTTACGATCCCGATCCCGATCCCTGTCTCTATCACGATCGCGGTCCCAATCTCTATCTCTGTTATAAAATCTGCCATCTTTTCTATGGTCTCGCGACATAATTCCACAATTAAATGACGATAATAAAATATGTACGCTTTGTCACAAAAAATAACACGCCTCTATGACATTAGGTCGGCGCCATTTGATTGTCAGTGTTACCATAATGAGAAAGTTGCAAATATGAAATTTAAAAAATGTTGCTAACTTTGAAAAATAAAAATAAAACATTTTTTTTGAAAACGAGAATTTTCATACTGCCTGTAGACATGTTGTATACAATAAATAAAACAGTTTCTGAATAAGTATAATATCACGATATCGTACACTTCTGTTAAAGAGGTGTCGCTTGAGCAAAATTTTTGATAAAAGAAGTTTCACCAATTTTAAATTTTTATTTATTTACCAGAGGGATGAATAGTGCAATAATATAACGTTATAATAGCCCGCTTCTTACGATTTATATTGTTTTATTTTTATTCTATCTACAACTAATCATAATTACTAACAATTTCAAGATTTGTACTATTTATTTAAAATAAAACAAAATGTTATAAAACTAAATGCAATTCATATGTATTGAGAACTTAAACTTCCACTTTATAATGCGATTAAATTCATTTTGTTGTTTACAACTATAAAAAAACAGATTTTTTTTTGGTTATTTGAAAGCATTTCGTTGTATTATTATTTATTACATATTGCGATATGAGTGACTTTACCGGAGGCCCAATCCTTCCTCACACCACGCCCATCCCTACATTTTCAGTACCTAAAAGACTCGCAACGCACTCGTTACTATTCTGGTGCTGCTGATGTCCATGGGCGGAGTGTAAATTATCACGTAATACTTCCACTCCTTTGCCACCCTATCATTCATGCAAAAATGAAACTGATGATTCTGCCCATTATAGAGGACTATAATACCTAATATGGTAAAGGTACCTGCTATAGGTAAGTAGAGATAGCCAATCTACCTACTAAGAGTTATAAGTGCGTTGTCAGTCTTTTGGGCATTTGCGGGTTACGGACTTTGAGGATTTCGGGATGAGGAAAATAATTAAAATCCTACGGAGACCTCACATAAACAGCGTATAAGTAATTTAACTATTTCTAAAACACCTACTACCCAACCAATACGATATTTTGTTACTAGTACCTAAGTAAGATTTTTCCTTCATGATTTCGATACTTGTATTGAAATATCAAAACTACATATTATTTTCGTAATGTTTTTCCGTTAAATAAAATAAGCGCTTCTGAGAAACTTAGAATTTAATATAAGAAACTTTTTTAAAACTTGGCTACACTAGGATTTTGTCCTTCACGTAATTTCACGTATATATCACACCCGGACACGAAACATCTGTTTGTGGATCATTTGAAAGTGCGGGAATCGAACCTGGGACACGTTGCGCGGCAGCTAGTTGCCAACCAGCGGGCCAACTATGCACTCATCGTCAATTATTATAAAATCAATATCAATGAATAATTTAATACTTTATTCTATTCAAGAGACAAAGTTATTTATTTTTAAACTAGGAAACTAACCCTCATAATAGAGTTTTAACCTCAAAAGAGAAACCAATATGAAAAATCGAATATTGTCCTCAATTTCTTAGTAGGTGGTACCTACTTAAGGTCTTGTGTAAGTACTTATATTTTTTTAAGAACTAGAAAGTAATCAAATTACTTCGGGAATGTCAGACTCTTACTCTCTTACTTTTCTTCTAAAATCAAGACGTTCGTTCCTTTTCCTGCTTACAGATCTACTTACGTGTACTTAATAGTACTGAAAAATATATTACTAAAGTTTGAAATTGGTCGGTAACTAATAATTATTATAAATTCAACATTAAGAGCTACCACGCGCACATCAGACATTGTCTCCAACTTAATGCTCTGTCGATTTAGATCGAAACTTAGGTGTGTTTACATAAAGACAGCAATTACCACCAACACTTAAGCTGGAGGAAACTTCAAAGCGCCTGTTTGTCGTTGTATGGAGCCAAATGCGGAAGTTTGTATAACAATTTTGTTTACATTTCAAATACGTCATACTCACTGATCTCCATTAAATCGTTCAACGAAGTGGAATAGACTTTTAACAAATGAAGTGTGCGCGACAGCAAACGTTGTGTTTGGAGGGGAGAGAGGGGTAGGACGTCACATCCAATGTTCCACTCGGTTTCATCTTATTTGACGGCTTAAGTGCGTCCCAGATTGGAATTCGCGCCAGTGCGACGCCATAGTGAAATTGAAGCATTAAGGCTTCAGGACACCTGATGAATTTGTTACATTTATTTAGACTATCCTATAAGTATTGATGTCTCAGTATATTACTTTTTTAGACAATCGGAGATGTGGAAAATTGGATGTTGGTACGATACGTAGTGCCTTCGTACTGACTTACTTATACCTTCTCATATTTTAAGATACCTGTATTTTTCAAGGAAAGCTCTAGATTTTTATGGGAGAAAAGACGGGACAATTCCTAAAATAAATTATAAGATCCCGTATTTCATTACTATCTTCTTCGATTGCGCCATTAAACATTTCTACTAGTGCGAAAAAATTCGACCGATATGACCGGATCTAAATCCTGAGAAATCTTAATGGACACTTTGATATAGGGTCATTTGGCGATGACAGTTCCACTTTGAGCACCTTCGAGTCAGTAGCAATGCGTCTTCAGCTATCGGGACCCAATGATATGTGGGCACTCCTGTGATAGATGGCATCCTTACGGTGACTAATGTTCATGGGAGTTCAGCAAGGAGGTTGGTTTATGGATAATTTGTGGCGGATTGATTGTATAGTATTGATAGGATTGTAGAAAGTAGATGTCGTGTAAAACCTAGAACATACCAATGTATGTCTTTCTTTCCAAATTACATGTTTGTATGTATTTTCTAAGATTCTTAAGACATCACTTACATAACCCTGAAGGAAGATATGGTGTTTCGAATCACCATTGCAGCTTGAGCAAATACATCGCTAGAGTTATTGATGTGCTAGATTTGGTATTCTAATTTAAATTAAATGTTGTAGTCACGAGCCCATGATATTTTAAACGGTAAATTTTAAAAGTAGAATGCTCACAGCTATGCCCCCGTACCATGTGTCTAAGCCTTACTTGTTAACCCTTTCAACCTACGTGGCGCCGAGGTTTCAAAGGTGAGAAACTTATCAAGCGACACCTTTACCCAATCACAAGGTCAGACATCAAACTTCATTAACCACAGTTATTGTATGCTATTGACATGTTGGAATATTAATTATTATAGGGGTATAAAATGGGAACTCCTGCCCTACATATCGACATTCAAGCAAGGTGTGCTCTGAGAAAATAACTTGTTCAAGGTAATATTTTCATATTATTACACTCATTTTTCATGTTTTTCATCTCCATTAAAGTTTCGAGGATTAAAAGCACTCGCTCCATATAAAACAGTAATTTTCATGTGCATTGGCGGATTGGGTTACTTAGAATTTTTGGCTTAATAGTCAAAAGGTTTTTTGGCAATACCTAATCCTGGTTTATCTAATAAAAAATCAATTATTGAAGACTAGAAAATCAATAGAACCAAATACCTTCTACAGTTGGTATTTCTTCAGCAGAATTCCTACATAAAGAAAAAAAAATATAATTTATAAATTATTATTCTTTCTTCTAGATGAATTCTCAACAATCTATCCTCCTCATGGCTCTCTGCGCAATCACGCTGTGTTCAGCGCACATCGGGGGTGGACAGGTGTCATTCCAAGATGCCAACCCTCAAGTGTACTGCGGCAGATCGTTGGCCAGAGCTCTGGCCTTCTTGTGTTTCGAAGAATCTGGCTCGGAGAGTAAGCGGTCGGAATCGGGTTCAATGTATAGTAAGTTAATTCTATGTATGATTAATTTTTAATAATTAGGTCGAAAAGTGAAGGTAGGAAATATCGAGAGTTTTAAAATGGTATCATCATAGCTTTAGACGAAATCGTCTTATGGACCTCTAATTTGTTCGAATAGTAGTAGACCTCTAGCCGTTGATTAGACTAAGGATCTTGTTTCACAGAGTCTGAATAGTCGCTGTGTACCAGGTTGAATATGTAAAGAAATTTGTGTAAATTATTTTTACATGAGTTTATCATCAACTTATGTATATGCAAGTGAAGTAAAGTTCAATATCGTATTGAAACAAACCCTCTAATTGTGTACGCAAATGACACCCGTCGTTTATTATGTATCCTCTTAAGCACCGAGTGTCCTGAATCTGAGTAATATTTATTCAGAAATACGCTGCAATCTAAAAGCATAGCCCATCTGCAATCAATATGAAGATTATTACAATATCCTCCACCAAGCGCACCCAACAATAAGAGAAAGCACTTTTATAGTGTACCAGCTGCTTATCTCCGAGTGCAATTTGTAAAAGTCGAGTACAGAGAACGATTTATTACGCAAGCGGTCTACCGATCCGTCAGTATTTAATGCAATCTGAATGTATCTCCATATCTTCAGTGTAGGAACATTTATCTTTCTATTGAATGCATTGAGCAAGACTAATTGTTCCAATGTTGATTCAGAAGAACTGGACGCTAGTGGTAGATGCTACTGTTTTAAATGGAATCGATAAACAGTTAAAGGAAGGGTTTGGGACTAAATCGCGACGAGTTAAATTGTATGTTTTTATGTTGTTGAAGTGTCAATGCAAGCAGCACCCTAAAATGTCTTTCTTTAATAAATAATTTACAACTGATAGTTTTGCTAGTTTTTCGTCCACGACTCCGTCCGCGTTTGTATTCTGTTTCGGTCTTTGATCTCCCAGCTAATTGCAGATACAAAAATCATACCACATTGTTCTGCGGCGACGTGACGTGACAGTGATACCACGGCCTCAGAAAGACAATAAAACAAACACAATCGCAATATAACCAGTAAGAACAAAAGGAATAAAAATCAAATTTGGTGTAATGACGTCTGTAGCTGAATAAATACTACTTAATATGTGTTTAACAATGATAAGATTTAAATTCCTTTTCCAGATGCTATCCTGTCCCCTTACTACAAGGAACAGGAAGGGCAATATGGCTGGCCCTGGATGGCCCCTCACAAGGCTAGGGGCATGTCCTTGCCCTCAAGAGGAAAGAGGTTTGTCGTCAACGAGTGCTGTGACAAGGCATGCAGCCTCAGCGAACTACTCTCTTATTGCTAGATAACTTTGTTATACTGTGTTGCTAGCTAAATATTTAAATTCGACCGATTGATATTTTTTTTAAGGTTTTTGGAGTATTTTAGACTGTTCAGAGTAGTTAACGTAGTTCTGTTTGATTTCAAATTATGTCAAATTTATCGTTAGTTCTGTATTAAAAGAAATATGGATACTTAAAATTTAAGTGACAGGTACTTTTTTCTTAACATTAACACCTCTTTTCATTTTAACGTTTTAAATAATAAATGTCCCACGCTGGCAACACAGCGATAGCACTATTTTTCTATATTATTATTTCATCTCGATGGATGATCATAAATCATTATAAAACGAGTAATCCCCTGATAGTAGATCGTTGCTCAGACAGTCGTTTATGTAGACTTTTTACTTTTTTAGTAGATAAATGTTATTTATGAGTGGACATATTTTATGTAGCTAATAATAAATCTATTGTTGTTGCAATTTTGTTTTATTTATAATATTGGTAGGAATTGTGAAAACTGTTTTATTTTATAATATTGGTAGGGAAATTTGAACAATATGGGAAAAACAAAAAAACTTTTCATTTTTCAATTTCTCGTAAAAACAAACTTCCACTAAAATTCTGAAAAAGTTTATGAGTGATTAAGAAGGGCTAATTTCGCTAAAATAAGTAAATAAAACGGATTTTTTTGCACTTTCTCTGCCACATTCTTGAATTCTATAAGCTGTTACATTTCCTCGCTCTAATTTCGCCTACTCCGTTTTATAGCGGTATTTACTCATAAAACTTTTAAAGCCCAGCTTCTTTCATTGTATCTTTTTGATGTTAATTGCATCTGCTCGTAATAATCTCTTTGTTTACGCCCATTACGGGCTAGGAATTCGAAATGGGATCCAATCCTTCACAACGAGTCGACTGAACGAGTATTAAACGGTAAAAACAAAGTGCACGCGTTCCATTGACGGTTGTTTACGAAGCTAGTTTTCGTAAATTCTTATTGTGGCTGCGATGTATTCGTGGGTGTTGGGAGGTGTGAATATGGAATGAGTTTTTGCGGTGGCATAGTGTTGCAATATGACAGTAGGTATGCATTTGTTGGTGATTCAGTATTCAAGTCACGGCGTACTCTAGGCGTTTGCCGGCGACGGCGAGTGCATTCGGTTTAGCATAAAGTTTCTTTACTGTATCTGGTTATTGTATACGGGCGTTTAAGACGTCATTATCGCTCGCGTATCGCTTGCCTAATTGGAGAGGAATATAATAGCAATGAAGTTTATGGCGATCATGCATATTGGTTGTCGTGTACGATTGTTTAGACGGGTACAGTGTCGTATTGGTTTTAGTATGCATAATTGCCTATTTTTTTTTGTAATTAACCATAAATTTCCAGTAAATCCTGCAGTATTACCATACTTCGAACAGTCGGACATTTAAATAATTTACCAAGTATGTACAACTCCGCGATATCTATTTTATTTCTTTACCAAAACTCTCCCTTCACTTAACACAAAAAGAAAGGTGCTATTCCTTTTTTAAATACTTGTACTTTTTTTTTCATCTTTTTCTGAAGCATGCCATAAAATGATTTTAGCCTCTATTCAATTTTTTACTAAAAAATAAATCTCTTTGGTCGTTTTAAATAAAAGGGAAAGGACTTTAATGCAATTAAAATGTTAATCTTTTTCGTCAAGCGTCTTCTTATTGCTCGAATTTTTTCCTTATATTTTTAAAAGAAATTCTGCACCAGGGATTTGGAGTAAAGCACTCTTACTTAAAATAGAGGAATTGTTCCGTTATTATATAATTCGTTCTGAAATCGGGAAGCCAATTTGGCAAGTGATTACTTCATAGTGTGTTTCTTTTGGACGGTAGATAATATAATGTAAGTTTTTTTTTTGTGATGGTAAAATCATCAAATGACTTCTCCCGCCCAGGGTTGGGCGGGAGGGAGTGTCAGACTCTTACAGACTAAACACCCGCCGTTCCTTCTCCTGCCCTGGGCCGAGGTCGCGGTGCCTCATTGTGCTTACTCCGCAACCCCGGCTGAAATATAAGTTAGGTTACTTAATCAACTAAAACTTAGAGAACTTTTGTTTTGTTGATCATATTTCTTAGCAAAGTTAGTATTGAATGCTATGTCATTTATGGCTCTGTCCTATACCTATTATTCATAGAAAAATGCCTTGGAATTTCTTCGATGGATAGTAACAACATTTTACCTTTTAGATTAGTCAAGTGGAAGTCATGACAAGTTCAATGAATGTGCGCACAACCAGTGGCGTATACTATTGTAAGTCAAACCTCATATTTAAGCGTTGAGTCACCGCATGCAACTTGCAACACACTAAGTATGCTCTCTCGTTCCACGCTCGTCTGCAACCGTTAACAATAACAAGACAACATTTCCCCGCTTCCTTTTTGAAAGAAAACTCTTCAAACTCCGTAGTAGAGGGAAGTTGCACTCAACATACAAATTAGACTGTAGCTGGCCAATATTCTGCACTACACTTCACAATGCTTTAAATAATATAACAAAGGCTATAATGAGGCTCTTACTTAATTGTATGCACTGATTTGAATAGAAGTAGCGTTTCACTTCCAGAATAGTTTTGTTTCTTATATAATGTTCTTGTTTTTTAATACCATGCTGAATATTCTGAAAAAACGTAGTACCTTTGAATGCACGTTTGGCGTGGTAGCTGTGCAACCGGCTGCAGCACAATGTGTCGTTGGTTCGTTTCCCGCACTTTGTGTGATTCACAAATTGTGGTTCCGGGTCTGTGTATGTGAAATTGTATGTTTGTTAACACACCAACGATACACGAGAAAACCCTCAAGAGGGGCAGCGTTTTATATGAAAAGAAAAAAGAAAGAACAGATAGTGCATGAAAATGCACTGACAGTGTTTATTGATACTTAATAACAATTATTTTGACTGTAATAAATTTTCTAAATTGGAAACTTTAAAAACTGTTTTTTTTTCCAAATGCGACATGTTGGTTAATGGTTCTTCACATCGGTCTATTTTTTATCTCTATATATCTCTCCTAAGAGGTCTGTATACGTTTTCCTTGGGTGGCCCTTAACGTTCTAAACGCCATTTGAAGTCACATAAACTTGTGATCAGTAGAAAAATAATTGAGTACTTAAATACTCGCATGTGAATGTAAAGTTTACTCTCATCACGTTCCTTCTTATTCAAGTTTTTGGATCTAAGAAAGTTTGAACCCACTTTAGAGCTCTCAGAGTCTTTGAAGTCAGAGTTTATCTAACTCAGCCAATTAAGATTCTTTTTCCTTGTGAATCCTACTTAGCGAGTGTGTAAAAAACATTTGAAGATTGCAGATATTGTTGGTTAAGATGCCACGGTACTTTCAAGCCAATCATTATTGTCGTTCTTGTAGGTAAACCCGGGTCTAGATCTCCAAAAGTCTGGATTGCCCCTAAAATTATTATAGTCGTTTGACATGACTTTGAAGGATCCGTTTATAATTATTTATTATGACCCACCATGTTAAGATTGTTTTAACTTTAGTAAAACAAATCGATTCAACTTTGTATCAATACGCTTATTCTTCCAACAAATCTCAAAGATAACGGTCAAAGATAACGGGTCAAAGAAAACGGATCCTTTAAAGACATGTCAAATTATCAATAAAAAAAAAATAGAAGTATTTCAAAAACATTATTACAAATGATGGTCAATTTATCGTAGCCATATAATAATAGAGTGAAGGTGAACTAAAGCCTCCCAGTGAACGCATAAAGTGCTTGCCCGATGCATCGTCAGGGCTCGAACCTGTATCTCAAATCTACGATCACTTTGGCATCCAAACACAATGCGCTACGAAGTACCGAAATGGATGTGGTGATATTTAAAATCCAAAATTGTAGAACTGCATACTTATTTTTTTTTTATTTACTTTAAAATACAGAAACAGTTGTGTGAAAAAGTGGCTTGCCCAACAGATAAATTAAGAACGGTAAAATAAAACCAAATCAATCAAAAATGACGCTGAATACTTGTACAATCTATCAACAAAGCGAGATGTTAAGTTTCGTAGCCAAATCGTAGCAGCTTCGTAGCACGTGCGTAGTATTTCCGTAGTCGATGAACATTGGCTACAAAATGCTACACCATCTAATTACATACATAGATTTTTACCGCATCTGTATTTTATCGATTTTTATACCCATGGCTAGGTAAATCCTGAACGTCTACAGGCTGAAGTGTTGTCACTGGCCGCCGGGCCACTTAAAGTCGTGCCTTATCTTCAGATTTCCAGAGAGCTCTTAGATACAACCACAGGTATAGGCAGGCTTTCGATATTGGAAGCTGAAGTATCGCCTATGTCGGATCCAATCAATTTTAGGTTCAAAGTAAGGCCTCAAACACTTCAAATTGTTGGAAATATTTAAAGGTTTTGTTGAAAGACAAGAAACTGTAATTTGTTTTATTGCTTGTATGATAAGATTACACCATTTCTAGAAGTCATTTAAATTCAAAATACTTAAGCGTTCTCACAAAAGTTGCGGTATCATAGAATAGATGCACGTTCACCGCATGTGGGTAAATTGTAGGAATTCATATCAGTGTGAATGCCTCGCCTTCAATCTTGATACATTGAATGTAGACGGAGCGAGCTTCATCGGTCCTGGTAATCTCAATACACAATAACACACCGCCGATTGAATTCAGGCGAATATACCGAGTATGATAATGCTGAGATATAAAAGGAATATATGTTTTCGTACAAAGATCACATGGAATGATGGAATATGATTTAGAAATTACATTTATACATGGGCCAACATGAGCCAACAGGTTTATGTTTTATAAGACATAATATGATCGAATATTGAAAAAAATACTTAATAAAAATAACACGTCCACTTGAATTTAAAGTAGGGATGACGATGTCAAGCTTACTTTGTACAGAGCCTATATTTTACCTAAGTAAAATGAATTTACTTTCGAACTTACGAAGTAAATTTACGCTCTGTATAAAGTAAGCTTGACATCATGCGATATTCCAAATCAAATCAAATCAAAACATAGTTTAGTTTT